TCTAGAACAACTCTAAGATATACCCATAGTGATGTTGATTTTGAAGGGTATCTAGAAGAACTCTAACATATACCCATTTAAGTTAGGCCTTGCGGGTATGATGCCCGGTGGCCAGGGTTAAAACGTACGTACGGGATCCAAGAATCAAACTTGAGTACCTACTTGTTTAGGGGTACCACCCAACCCAATAGTGAACACTATGCTGCTGGCTTCTGGTTGACCTTAAGAAAAGGTAAGTTTAAGGTTTGAAAACCTTTTTAAAATATATGCATCTTAAACTAGGCCTGGCTTAAGAGTTAGTTAAGAATATCTTGAACTAGAATTAGTCTAAGAATTGAATTGGCCTTAGGCTAAGAATAGTTTAAGGATATTGTTGAACACGAATATTGAATATTGAATATGAATGTTGAATATTGAATATTTAATGATGAATGTTGAATAATGAATATTTGAACTGAACATTACGTGCATGATATCAAATGATTCGATTATGAATTTAGAAATCACTCTATGTAGCACTCTAAGGCACCCAATATTACACATATAGCACTCCTTATTGTTTTTCACACATTTGGCTATTTATGACGTAGATCTTTTCGAATCTTACCCTTTTTTGGAAGTGTGGAATGGTCATGTTATGTCTACACTTTCAGGCAGTGTGTTATGCCCATGTTTTGGGCAGTGTGTTATGGTTCACGATACTCAACTACACTTTCTAGCAATGTGTTATGCTCATATTCTGGAACTGTATACCAACTTAAACACATTTCTTGGCAGTGTAGAATGATCATGCTTTCGTAGTCTGGGTACATGTTATATTGGGTATGACGGAGTGTGTTATGCTCATGTTTTAGAAGTGTATTACAGCTTAAACACATTTTTTGGGAGTGTGGAATGCAAGGACAAATTTGGAATTGCATCCACACGAGTTCCAAAATCTCATAGCAGTGCTATATTGGGTATTTTAAGTATATATTAATGCTATGACGGTACTTCTCCCTTATGAATTGAGATTCAATTTATATGGTTGTTCGACGCTTTAGATATGCTTACTCAGCTTCACCGCTGAGCGTGAAGTGTGTTTTATTTGCTACACCTAGGTTAGCAGAATGAATGATTTACCTATTTCTAGCAGCGGATGGGGCGAGATAGTCGTGGTGGATTTATGAATAAATGATTATGTTGTTAGGAGACATGGTTTAAATTCGCTTCCACGTCATTATTAAACTCTCCGTATTTTCTACAGTCATGTATTGAATATTATTTTTATGATGAATAAAGATGTTTGAAATGTTTTAAATTATACAATAAGCAAGTTTATACTTTCATCCAAAAGGGGCTGTAGACCTGGACGGATTAGGGTGTTACAGGTTAGGAGTACCTTAAACTAGAATATAGTTTAAGAGTTGGTTAGAAGTTCCTTAAACTGGAATTAGTTCAAGAGTTGGTAAACATTAAAGAGATTGGCCTTAGACTAAGAATTGTTTAAGGATATTGTTGGTGAATGTTGAATATGAATATTAGTGTTGAATATTGAATGTTGAATAATGATTATTGAATGTCAGAACTGTACATTATGTGCATGATATCAAATGATTTGATTATGAATTGAGATTTAATTTATATGGATGTTTGATGCATTAGATATCATTACTCAGCTTCACCGGTGAGCGTGTAGTATGTTTTATTTGCTACACACAGGTAAACAAAAGGAATAAAGTGACGTATTCCTGGTGGCAGATGGGGCGTGATGGTCAGGATGGATGTGCGAATTTGAATTATTGTTTCAAAAGACATAAAATTATTATGTTTTGTAATTGTGATTTATTAAGCTTTTGTAACTTTAAATACTCCATCATTATTCTGAATAAATTATTATGAAATGAAGTTTTAACATGTTTGAAATATTTTAAATGTTATGATTAGGGTGTTACAATGCACATAATATTCAATTCAAATATTCAGTATTAATTCATATCAAATCATTTGATATCAAACACGTGCTATTCTATTCAAATATTCAATATTCATTATATCAACAGTGCGCTCCTAAACTATTCCTTGTCTAAGGCCAAATTCATATTGATAACTAAGCGCTTAAACTATAATTAGTGTAAGGAAAATATTTCTAACCAGTCTCTTAAATTATAATTAGTTTAAGGAAGAATGGAAGAATCGAAGACCCATCCTACGAGTCTTATGGGTCATGCTCAAAACCGAACAACGGAATAGTCACCGTCAGGTTGGGTGGTACCCCCAAACGAGTAAGTACTCAAGTTTGGTTTTCCGTAAACCCATTTTAACCTCTGGCCACCGGACATCATACCCGCAAGGCTTAACTAATTTTCTCACATGGGTATATCTTAGAGTTCTTCTAGATGCCCTTAAAAATCAATATCATTTTCATAATCATTATTTAATTTAGGATATTTGTATTTTTAATCATGGTTCAATCGTCATAATCAATAATCATTAATCAATAACAATATCGTAATATTTCATAACAAATAGCGGCCTAGCATCGAGTGTTAACACCCCAGCTTACCGTCATGCATCACACAAGATTCTAGGATTTATCAAAACATCATATTTTATTTGGAAATGATATTCGTACTGATTTATAATTGAATGGTATCAAAAATAAGATTTTACAAATCAAAAATCAGGTTTGTGGAAAATTTCCGGGTTTAGAAGGTATCACTTAAGGTACCTCGGTACCGGTACACGGTACCTCAATACTGTTCTGGCGGTGTGGGGTACCACCTGGTGGTTGATACTGTTAGAGGAAATTGCATTGAGACAATATCTGCCTACCGTTACCAGTGATTTGGCCTACCGTTCAGGCGGTACCTAGGTATCGTCTGGGCAATAGCTCGATACTGCTCCATGCGAAGTTTGAACAGTGTTTTCTTCAACCTTAGGCTAATTTTTGAAAACTTCATTTTTATCCATCTAACTTCAATTAAACTATATAGAAATGTTCTTCAAAGTTCATAGATCATTTTGGGATCATTAATTTGAAATTTTAACAATAATTTTAAGGTTTATGATTCTTGGTTCTTCAAGTATGTCAAACACAAAACTCAACCAAACGACTGTTTATGAACGTAGAAACGATCTATATGAACATGCTAATCACTAGATATATCTAAGGGCTTACTTCGGGCTTAAACAGAGGTTCTTAAATTTTCCAACGACACTTCTGCCGAACACTACAGCTTCTTCCGATGACCTCAAGATCTCATGTCTACACTATTGCATTCTCCACACTCACAAGAACAGAATAGAAGACGAAGAAAAGGATTTGGTAAAAAAATGACATAATTGATCTCTCTTACATTGGGGAAGAATGAGGATGGAGCCAAGCCTGGTAGTGTCACTTTTGATCACGAAATCACATAATGGAGGAGACTGCACCGATTGAAGATTTACGCGACTCTTTCCTGATTGGGACTATTTTTTAGTCCCAATCGGGGTATACTTTGTTTTTCAATTTTCTCCGAATTAAATTCTGATTGTATCATTGCGATCAGACAGTTAAATTCTACATAACGGTATAATTTTTATATTTATTTGAAATATTTTTTCTAACATCATATTTTTAGGTGTTTGTCTTGACAAAGGCTCTATTCCGTACGCCTGATCTGATTGAATCTGATCTGAATTTTTGAATTTCTGATCTGATCTGATCTGATTGGGTCTGATCTAATCTGATTGGGTCTGATCTGATCTGATTGGATCTGATCTGATCTGATTAGATCTGATCTGATCTAAATGAATCTGATCAGATCTGATTGGATCTGATCTGATCTGATTGGGTCTGATCTGATCTGATCTGATTGAATATGATCTGATCTGATTGGATATGATCTGATCCGATTGGATTTGATTTTCTCTAATTAGATGTGGTGTAAATGAATTTAAATTTTATTTAAACTAAACTTAAAGTTATTACAAAATTTAATAATTTTAAAGTATTACAATTCATATATACATAAAGTAAAACAAGAAAATCAGCTAATTATTGATTTGTTTAAACTTTTTTAAAAAAATATTAAACATCTTTTCAATATCACAACTTTTTTAATTTTTGTGAAAACTAAATAATCGGTATAAAAATAACCAAATATTAGAAAATATTGATGCTATAGTATTCTACAAGAATATCACATTCTATATACATATTACATAATAATATATTTCATGTTACAAATTAAATATCATATAAAATTTTAAACACTAATATCCCTTTCACCTCTATCAATTTTGTCATAAACTAACTCACCCTTTTGTATATTTTACCATCTTAAAGCTTAAAAATAAGTCTTTTTAAGTATAAAATATTTATAGTTTTGAAAACTAAGTTTTGTATAATTATTTTATAAACAAGTATTTTAAAATAACTCTTTTTAAAGTATGAAAAATAAAACTTTTTAAGCTTTAACATTGCTTCCATGCATCATTTCTATCCTACAAGCTAAAAAATTATTAAAAATAATGGTTTGTAGTTGAAATATAATAATAATAATTATAATAATAATAATAACAACAACAACAACAACAACAACAATAATAATATAAAAACAATAATATTTAAAATTATAATATTAATTAAGATTTAGGTGTGTGTATTTTTAAATAAAGTAATGTGATTTAATCAAATAATAGTAATTATTATTTAATCCTTGAAAAATATAAATATTATCTTTTATATTTTTCTTGATTTGATATCATTGGATTTTATCTGGTCTGATCTGATCTGATTGGATCTGGTCTGATCTGATTGGATCTGATCTGATTGGATCTGGTCTGATCTGATTGGATCTGATCTGATCTGATTGAGTCTGATCTGATCTGATTGAATCTGATTTGATTGGATCTGATCTGATCTGATTAGGTCTGGTCTGATCTGATCTGATTTTAATAAGAATAAGTAATAAGTATAAAAAATAAGTCCTACGGAACAGACCCAAAGTAATGCTAATTTTTGTTAACGCACCCATACTTTCACACCCATACTTTCACACCCATCCCATCAATGTAAATTTGTGTTAATACACCCATACTTTCACACCCATACTTTCCGTTTGTTTGCTCATCTCTGCGGCTACGACCGAGACAATCTTCCTTTCTCCACTCGATCTAGAGTCTAGACCCATCGACGCTACCAGCTTCAGGCTCAGTTCGTCTGTCCTCGCCTTGCGCGCACTGCCGGCTACCGTCGCTGCGACCTGCGGTGAACGTTGGTCCGTCCCAGCCTGTCCTCGATTGAGCTCACAAATCTGCAGGTAAGCTTAGTCTCCTTTTCCTCTCATTTTCAATTCCTCAGCTCTAGATTAGATTTCTTGGCCACTCCAATCTGAAATGGTTATTATATATCCTTCGGAATTTCCTTTCTGGCATATTCTCCTGTGATTTTTGCTGTATTTTTCTTCTACCTTTATCACTCCACATGTTTGAGTGGTCATTGGGTCTCAAACAAAGATGTTAATTTTGTAGTCAGCAAGGATCCTTGATTAGACCACATTACCACAATGGAAGCGGTTTCTGGAAATGTAGGGTTCTGGCCACAAACCATTCATGTTCAGTGTAGTCCAACTAAATCTCAAACCATTAGTTGTGATAGTAGTTGCTTGCTTTGAAAGGTGCAAAGTGCACTGACATGTTTTACATCAAAAAAATCCAAAGTGCGAGGCGGAGGCGCGTACCTCACAGATCCGAGGTCCATATAGTTGATAAAGCCCAATTATATGGCTTGTGCATGATATCATTAAATAATTTAAACACAATTGCTGAGTATATTTTTGAACAATCATAGCAAGCATCCTTAACAACAGAAATAGTATTTTGTACATGTGAATGAATTTAAAAAATGTTGCAGCAATTAATACTCCGGGGTATTTGAGAAAAACAAAGAATCAGAATTAATTCTAAACAGAATGGTTCAATCGCAATCAAATTAGGAAGTAAGAAAATAGAGAAGAAATAGGAGTAAAGAAATTGTACTGTGGTGTCGTGTGCACCAAAGGCACAAGGAAACAAACACCTTTTAGATAGCGTTGCATCCTGATGTCCTGAGGCGGTTTTCTGATTGCATTACCGGGCCTCAAGAGCGCTTTTTTAAAACAAGGGTAGTTGTTAAATCATGATGAATCATGAATGGATTCATTTCATTGTATCATATTATTCAAAAACGTGTTAATAAACATCATTGGTGTCAAAAATTCTACCTAAATTATGAAGATCATGCTCAAAAGCTTATAGTAGATATTTAAATTTCCGTACAAATGCTAAATTAAATTCTTCCACTTATGCCAAAGTTCTAAATAACATCATAAGTGACTTATTCCATACCTGATTCTTTTCCATTTCATAACTAGCATGTATCTTATGAGTGACATCTAGAATTGTATGAAATCATGTGATATGTTCCATGAATTGCACGATACCAACGACTATGGTTGTGATAATATTGTAGAAATTGATTTAATCCCAGGAAGTGTATCAATGATTGATTCATTACATTTCCATGGATGTTGTGGCCTTGCGGGGTTAATTTAAATGTTACACCACTTGTACCACAGGATTACAATAGTTAGGTACCTGATAATGACATATTGTACAGTTTAGTTGTGTTAATGTGATGGGATTTGTCTGTTTTATGATATCTTATTTTTCTTTTTCTTAGTGTTCCTGAATGTAGATAAAACTAATGGTTTCTATTTTTTTTGTTTTCAGTTGGAGGAAAACTGGATTAGTCAGCACTTGAAAGTGAAATATGGTAAGATGGATTTGTAGTTTAGTGGACTTTTTTCAATAATCACCCTGGAAAACTATAAATATTGTAAAAAGACTAGAAGATTCTGAAATGTAGTTAAATTATCCCTTCAGTCATATTAGATACTGAAATATCAATTTATTGGCTTTTCAGTCTGCGCTGTTCAATTTCCATTCTTTTCTCACAGTAGTGCTCTTAGGAATCTGTGCATGCACATATCTAAAGATGCAGTTTCCAGCAATTCTTGAGCAGCGAACTGGGTAAGTTGTCTTGCAATTAGGTTATCGATAATGAAAATCAAGACATTTTAAGCCGCAAGGTTCTTGTTATATACCTAGTACTTTATGATTGTGTATCCTTCTCTTACACGGAGAAAGTCCCATCTCCCTCACCTGTGTTACAGTTCCCCCCAACCCCATTTCTAAAACTATCTTTGGTTCAGGGAATTTGAAAGGGAATAGAAAAGAAAATCAGATGGAAACTGTTTTTCTTGTTTGTTTCGAGATGAAAAGAAAAGAAAAATGGAAGGAAAACAAAATGAGAAGGCAAAATGCACTAAGAGAAGGGGAAAAAAAAATATTCCACCCAGTTTGGTGAGGAAAATGAGAGAAAAACCATATTCTTTTCTTTTCCCTTCAAATTCCTTGAACAAAACATAGTGTTAGATTTGTACTAATGACAAATAAAATTTAACAGGTTTCGTGGATTCTTCTGGAAGGCAGCTAGGATAGGTAAGATTGCTCTACCTCATTTCTCGTGCTGCTCCTAAAAGAAATTGCGAACATAAAATTTCTTGAAACATTAGTTTGTGGTACCCATCAGCTTAGTAGAATTTTCACTTTAGGCCCCGGGACTATTACCCATTTACCCCAATTCCATTTCTTAGAATTTGTATTAATGACAAATAAATTAGTGACTTTCACTCGTTTCCACTTTTGGTGCATGACTGGATTCCTTGTCACACTTGGTCCATTCTACCACACATCCAGCCACTTTACCTACAATTTCCGGTTTGGTTTATGTTAGTGACTGGAAATGACAAGTGTCAAAAAATCCACAATTGTGCAACAAAAATGGAAAGGGAAAACCAAAGACCCAAAGACGCCGAACCCCGGTAATATGGGTACTTCACCGGATTCTTTCTTCCCTCCGCCCCTGCGTGGGAATATCCTAGTAGTTGTGGGACCAAAAGTGGAGAATTTTCTGTAAAATTAAATTTGATTGTTAACTTTCTTTTATGTATGTAAAGGGGAAAGAACCCAACTTAGTAATGACACTGAAAGGGATGGGACAAGTATCCGTATTTGTCTGCTTTGATTCAATTGCTGTAATTATGACAAGGAAATGAAGCAAAGTTGGGTATGATGTGAAGGGCTCTTGGTGATGAAACATGTAACCTCAGTTGCCACAGAAAATTGAAAGCTGTCATTCTCTTATATGCTTTCTTTCCATATTTCTGTGTTTGATTTATTTACCCGCAAGCCTCAACAATTTCTTACAAATGACAACCCCAATCATTGACCTTCCCATAATGGACAAAGTGTAGGAGAGGAAATCTTACTATATTTTTCATGGTCAACTGGCCATTGACCAGAAAACAGTAGCTTGGGTTGTTCCCATTCTCATTTAAGGAAATGCTACTAGTCCCTTCAGTTTCTTTCATTCTTAAACGTCTATCACTGATTGGGGTCTGTTCTGTATTGGGGATGACAGGTGAACGCCTGAGCCCTTGGGTTGCAGTGGGATGCTTGACAATGGGCATTTCAATCTTCTTCTAACTGCTTTTGTGGCTAAGCTTTCCTTACAGACCATACATTTGCAATGACTCCATTGATTCTTGAAATGGATTTCTTTGCATGTTTTTTTAAGACCACTGCTCTCATTCATGTTGTTTCGTACTGGATCACTTGTTTCAAAGAGATCTACTTTCTTGTTTGTTAATATTCCGATTTAGCCATTCTAGAGGGCCACAAGTTCGGCCAATTATATGGTACTGCTAGATGTACCTTTCTCTTGGTACATCATGACAAATTTACAATTAAAAAAATTCACAATGATTTTTTTCTAATGAGGCGTGTTTTCTCAAATTAGTCCTCAATAAGTTATGATTACCTATGTCGTACTTTATAATTGAGATTTATTCTCCAAGTAGTCCCTCGTAAAAAATATTCACTTAAGGGTCTGTTTGAAAAAAAGGAAAATGACTTTTGGAAAATGAGTTATTTTCCCGAAATCATTTTTTGGTGTTTGGATGAAAGCTTGAAAATTATGTATTTCCGTTTGGTTGCATCAGAAAATAAAGATTAGTGAAAACCAAATTGGAACAAAATTTCCCAATCTAAAATTCCACATAAATTTTTAATTCAAATATGAAAGCTGAACGAATTTCCCAAATCCGAAAGCCGGAGAAAGAGTTCACTTCTTTAATCAAAACTCCCAAAGAAAATCAAATCTCAACAAATTGAACTCACGAAAAAGAAGATGAGGGGAGGGAGGGGGCGGCGGTCACGACTTAGAGGGAGGAGAGGGTGCGGCAGTTGCGAGGGGAGGAAGGAGATGAGGGCCACGATAAGCGCGGCGGTTGCGATGGTGAGGAAGAAGATGGGGGAGGGCGGTCATTTGGATGGTGAAGGCTTATGACAACGACAAGGAGGGGAGTGGATGACGTAGAATTAAGTTGAGCTAGGATGAGACGGATAATGACTTATGGAGAAAAAATCCGGAAGACAAAATCCAAATTTTAGGCTTCTTTGACTTGGATTTCATTGTCCTTTAACTCCATTTTTCATTTTTGCCAAACAGTGGAAAATTAGGAAAATGACTTTCGAAAGTCATTTTCCCCTTTTCCAAATAGACCATAGATGGTGATTAGTTGGAGGATATTTTGCTATTATCATTAACTAAGCTTAAAGTAATTCTCAAAATATTTTTTTATACAATTTTGTGTAAAATTAAAACAATCATTGACTATACATAATTTATGAATTATAAATAATTTGTTAAAGTATTTTAAAATTTGAATCAAATACATCTCTTTAACTACTCCCCCGTCCCATTTTATAACGCTGTTTCGGTTTACGATGTTTGACTGAAGTTATTTTTAAACCATTTTATATGACAAATGGTATAGAGTTAAAAAATAAAAATTACATATCAAAATACTACATCAAAAGACCTACAAAACTAGTAGTGACAACAATATTTTATTTTATCAAATTGCTAATGAAAATAGAGAAAGAAAGTGAATGAAGTTTGACCCTGTGATTAGTCAACATGCATTATAAATTAGAACGGAGGGAGTATAAAAGATCATTTTGGGGAAATACTTCACTTGAAATGCTCATTTTGACAATTATTCTAAGTTTAGAGGATGAAAAATGTCAAAGTACTTTTAACTTAATTGAAATTTAAGTAACATTTTCTACGAAGGATTATCCAGAGAATAAATCTCAATTTTAAAGTATAATAGATGTACTTAGAACTTATTAAAGACTGATATGAGAAAACATCATACTGAGAAAACACTATTTTGAGAATTCATTCTCAAAAAAATTTTTTATAATGAACAGTATGTTGTTTCAAAATCAACATATTTCAGAATGAACATTATGTAGTTTCAAAATTAACATTATGTTGTGCAGACTTTAGAATGAACACTTCAGCTGAAAATAAATATTAGCTGGGTATATCTAATTTTAAGTACAAACGAATGTACGGTATACGTTCTCGCATAATCTCATAGCAATTTTTAAAATGTGATCAAGCTATTTTTCTATGGGAAAATAGGAGTATAAATAATGAGAGTTGGGCTAGGGTTTGAGCCCATATACAAACCAATTGGCCGGTTGAACAGACTGAGCGGCTCCTAAAATAAGTAAATAATATATGACTAATGGGCTGACCGAATAGACTAGCTAGACCGTTCTGATTCATATTATACGAAGACCGGACACCTCATGTCCAGGGTATCCATCAGTAAATTAAAATTAACCACTAGCATATAAAATCGGGATCATATATTCTAACCAAAAAAGCTTAAACTTGTAGGTAGATCTTCACTATTCTATATATGTTAGTGATATTTTGTTTATTCTTGGATGTTGGAATTCCATCCATATACTAGTAATTGAATATAATTGGGAGAGTAATTTGGTTGAATCAATGAAGGAGCATGCTACATGTATTCTAAAATTTGTATTCCATTTGTACACCAAAGGTATGCACCAACATTTTGATGGTTTATACTGACACAAAGTGTTGGTGCGGTAACAAAAATTTACATTGATACAAAGTGTTCGTGCGTTAACAAAAACTAACATTACATCAACACAAAATGTTGGTAAATCTCTGCAATGTACTTAAAAATTTTTGGGCACAAATAGCTTTATCCGAATCATGCGTGACTTTCTTGCATGTGGCCGAGAAAGAAAGAAATCGTCAATTCATCTACAGTCCCTTCCGCACCAAGTCGCTCTCCCACCATCATTGATTGGACCATGTTACACTTACACCAAAAAATATACCCCATTTGTACACCACAGGTTTGCACAAACATTTCAATGGTTTACACCGACATAAGTGTTGGTGCGTTAATAAAAATTCACGCGGACACAAATGTTGGTGCGTTTAACAAAAATTAGTTTTACACCAACACAAAGTGTTGGTGCAAAACTGCGTGGTACAATTGGGGTACAAACTTTGGGGTACACGTAGCATAATCTTCATTCAATTCCTAAGGGGAAGTAGTTGAGCTCTACCAAAATAGAAAATGTACGTCTCCAATGTCAACCTGCCATGTAATCTCTCCTCTTATAGTCAAGTCTATGTTTTTGTTTTAAATGTTAACTATACACTAATTTAATTAACTTTGTCCCTATTTTCTCCGCTCAAGAATGGCTTGCCGCCCATTTATTTACCAAACCCAAAGAAAAACAGAGCAATAATATACCCTGGTGGCCACACACATCTCTCTCTCTACTTGGGACTTGGGAGGTAAGTGATGGAGGGGAGAAATGATAGTAATAAAGAAAATAAGGGGCAGAAAGTGGAAGAAACAGAAAGCAGTGGCGCTGAATCTTTTAGCGTGGAAGAGAAGCATAAAATTGAGCTCATGAGGGCTCTTCTTCTAAAACGAGATCCATCTTTTCAGGTGCGGCCTCATGATATTTCTTTTTTTTACGTTCTAAGATTTTTAATTTGGGGGAAATACCGTGTTTTTTTACTTGGTGTTTTACAAAATTTCAAAAACAAATGCTTATTTGAATGGATATTGAAAAGTTTAAAGTTGTATCAAATTCTCTATAAAATAAGTATTAAATTAAATTTGAGATTACTATGGTATATTAATTATAATTAATAATGAAATAAAGAAAAAATTTAAAAGAAATTACATTAAATATATGAGTAAACCATAGAAAAAGTACCAAAATAATAGCTCCATATTTTTATGGGAAAAAACCAAAAGTACGGGTATAATATTAAAAGTAGAGTAAATTTCATAATTGGCCCTTTATAACAAGGAGGTTTCCATATGTATTCCTTTATTATCAAATATTACCTCCGTAGTCCTTTTTTAAGGGTGTCTTTCCACAAATAGTCTTTTTTTATCTTCTGCCATGTTGGTATTAATTTAAATGCTAAAAGTATAATTTGACATCAACATTATGTCTAGTGACGTGTTCTGATATTGGTTAAGCGGATAACACAAAAATAATGACTATGATTGTGGGCTAGGATTCCGACGAAAGACCACATTTGTGGACTATGGTTCTAGTAGAAAGCGACTGTAATTCACAAACGATGGAAATTGAATAGCCTTTGGAATTGTGTATGACAAAAAAGATATATTATCATTGCGAAATTACACTTTTTGGCCTCAAATTAACACCAACATGATAGAAGATCAAAAAAGAACTATTTGTGAAAAGATACCCATAAAAGAAGGACCAATGAGGTAATATTTGATAATAGAGGACTAAATAGGGAAACTCCCTACTATAAAGGACCAATTATGGAATTTTCTCTTAAAAATATATTAAAATAAGACTCTATATTTTTATTCCCAAAATAGGAGTTAAAATGTATTTATTTTACCAAAAATTGTCATGTACATTACCAAAAAGTTTAATAATGTGCATACGTACAGTGCCATGTTACCAACACATTACCAAAGTGTGAACTCCTATTTGGATAATAAAAACATTGAACTTCTGTTTTGATATTTTTTCTATATTTTAGTACTATTTATGGCAAATTTTCTTTTTCTATCCTTAAAATAAGAGTTCATACAGTAGTAATGTGATACTGTATTTGGTCATTCGACAATGCTTAAGTACTTCGTGCCTTTTTTAATATCAATACAATGCTTAAGAAGTACTTAACTTCTTGAATATCAATATAAGTTTTAAGTGTTTTTTTGTCAAAGAAATCACTCAAATAAAATATAACCTTACCCTAAAAAGAGCGATATATTTTCATTTCAAAAATAAAATTATTGTACTGTGACACTAGTATATTGACATTTGACGATGTTTTTTGGTATTATATGTTCATATTGTTGGCATTATATGTTCTATTTAGTGATAAGTTTTTCGTCTCCAAATCAAATGTATCCTTAAATAGTTGCACTTTTCATTATTTGCGGACTCAAAGATAAAAAAAATTCCCACATTTTATTTTAATAAAAAGAACTTAAAGAAGTAACATAATACTAAGGAAATAGCTTTAATAACCTTTTAGTTGTGTTTGGTTGGGGGTAAGAATATTTTCCTAAGGAAAATGATTATTTTGAAAAATCATTTTCCAACCATATTTTCCGTTGTTTGGTAGGAAGAATGTTTTTTAAAATCATTTCTTTTTTTAATATTTAAAAAGCTAGATTTATAAACTGATTTAAAAGTTAAAATTCAAAAGTCAAACAAGGGGTATGGGGTGGACGGAGGTTGGGGGGGTGCGTGGGGGATGGAGCGGAAAGAGAATGAAAATTTTCCTTCCACTTTAAATGGAAATTATTCCCCTGCTCCTTCCCCCGACCTGCCCCTCATTGAAGGCAAGTATTGTCACCAAACATAGGAAAATGGAATCAAAATTTTCTTGAAAAATATTTTCCTCCACACTTAGATCATTAAAGTTTTTTAATGATCATCACACTTCGATCATCTCCAACCACACTCGCTTGCTAGACATGACTTGCTAAAGTCATTTTTTAGCATGTGAATAGTGGTATAACAAGCTATATATTGTTCAACCTTCCTTTGCTATAATTTAGCTAAAAAATAAATTATACTCCCTCCGTCCCGCTATATTTGTCCACTTTTGACTTTTGGAACTGTTCATCTAAACACTTTGACTCATCAAATTCTCTCAATGTATAAGCCTAAATATAGTCATGTGTGATCTTGTTTGATTTGTCTTAACATATAGATTATTAATATATAATTTCAATAATTTTTTAATATACAAATTACAAGATAAAATGGATTAAAGAAGTGTATTGGATGGTGTGTAAAAATGAAAGTGGACAAATACTCTGAGACGGAGGGAGTACTTAGCTTGTTTTCACTAGTACACTATTTAAACTAATTTTTAAGTTATACTCTGCATTATTTTATAAAATTTAAGTAATATAATAAGTAAGAAATTTAGATATAATAATTTTAAAAATAATTTTTTACTTTAGGAATAACTGATTTAAATTCTAAGCGGTTGGCGAATTTTTTTAGCTTTAAAATTGTTTATTTCGCTGATCGATGCAAATAGAGCGATTTATTTGGTCGTTTTTGTATAGTAGTAGTGTTCCAAGTAAATAAAATTAACAAAATTTTGTTACTGACCCTGTGTAGTCGATCATAAAGCCCGAGAACTGTTATCTGCCATTTGGCATTATCTACCGCCCCCTACCCCCAGCTCCTTGTTACCACACCTGCCACCCCTACCTCAGCCCCACATACACTACCACCCTCGTCCACCTTCACCCAGCCTCACTCTCCAACCCTCCTCCCATCCACACCCACCCAACCCCCGTCCACCTGTTAGTTCCATGGTGTTGGCTAATCTTTTGGCAAAATAGAATCCCATATTTGTTAGGTATTTTAATAGGTAGAAACTTCTATTTGTTAGGAGAGGTTTATTTTATTTAGACTTCTAGAGTTGTTTTAGTTTTCGAGGGTGACACAGAAGATGCTACAACACGATGCTGCAACACACTGTTCGGGATCAGAGGTCTGAGCACGGGATTTTAAGCTGCAATCTGAATTAGAGACCTATTGGGATTGTGACTACATGATAAGAACTCGAGCTGTACTTGTTAAGGAATCCCAACTCTTTAGGCTACTTGTGGATCAAGATTAAGGAGTTGTATTCAAGCCAACTTCTACTAATCTATTCCCACTAGGATTGTGTTAAGAGAAGCCTATAAAAACGCAGCAGGTCCCTGAAAAATACTTGGAGCGATCGAGAGGGAATATTAAGAATATACGCTGATGTAGAGCATTCCCATTGCGTCCAGGAGCTTCCCATGCGTGAAGAAGGTCACAATCTACATGTAGGAGGAGATCTTCAACGCCAAACAGATCGTGACGTCCAGGAGATGAACTAGAGCTTAAGGAGAGGGCTGCCAACACGTTTGTCCTCGTGATCTCGGTAGAGATATGATAGCCGAAGCGGATATATCTGAACAGAGTTCGGGTTAGAAATCCTAGATTAGAAGTTTTGTCATAATAATTCGGAGAAGTGTGTCTCATCATGTTGTTATGTACCGGTGTAACTTGCATCTAGTGATTTAGTGGAGGGCTATTACACGGACGTGGCCCCGTAGACTAGGAGAATTTGCTCTGAACTGCGTAAACATATCTGGTGTTATTTTTTACGCTTTTTATAGTTACAACATTCTGCCCAGTAGGCGCTGGCGCTGTAATGCTCTCTGCATCATCTGCTTCTGTGTGCGTGCTTGTGACAGAGAAGTGTTATAGCACACTGTCCGTCATCTGTTACTGTGACAGTGCTGCAGCGCCTTCTCTGCAGCATAGTGAATTGATTTGTTTGCATAGCTCTTAATTGGTGATTTCCGCTGCACCCCCACGAACTTACACCACCCTCTCCAACCATCCTACCCTCACCCCCAGCCATCCCACCCCAGCACCCTATCGATCCCCCATACCCATCGTTCCTCGTCAGTCGTCACTTGCCACCCACCCTTGAACCCCGTCCACACGCCCCTTATCCACCCTACCCCGCTCCTATGTTACTAAAATATTGTTAAACTTTTCTTCTTACGCGCGCACCCGATGCATATGCGTAGGTAGAAGTGGGGGATGATTACAAAATGAGAAGGTTTCTGAGAGCACGTGATCTAGACGTTGAAAAAGCGACAAAGATGGTGATAAAAGAGCGGCAATGGAGAAGTGCATTCGTGCCAAAGGGTCACATTTCAGCCTCGGAGGTTCCAAACGAGATAGGTCAGAACAAGATGTTCATGCAAGGAGTGGACAAACAAGGACGCCCCATTGCCGTCGTTTTTGGTGGCAGGCATCTCCAAAACAAAGCTCCCGATGAATTCAAACGTACGTCGTAATATAAGCATGCTATTAGCTAGTGGGTTACACCACTAATATTATTCTTCAATTCTTTGGATTATATTCATTATTATTATATGTCATTTTGTTTATTGGTGTTTTCCAGGTTATGTGGTTTTGGGTTTGGACAAACTATGTGCCAGGTTCAGATTCGATTATATACCCTCTTCCACTTTGTCTTTTTTTTAGCCCCCAAAAAATAACTTGAAATTTACAATTTTAATCACATTAAGGACGTCACCGGGCAAGGAAAAATTTGTGGTGATCGGAGATCTTCAGGGCTTCGGGTACTCTAATAGCGATGTCCGCGGATATATTGGAGCTCTTTCCATTCTTCAGGTTAGAAAATGGCGAGCTAAATTGTGACAGAGGGAGAGAGTATAAGAGAAATGAATTTGATGTTTATTAGATGATTAAACTCTGAAGTTGAGTTAAGAGAATTGTAACCAAAACGTACATGTGCACATGGTTCAAAAAAAAAACAGGATTTCTATCCAGAAAGACTTGGAAAGGTGTTCGTTGTCCATGCACCATACGTGTTCTGGACATTGTACAAGGCAGTGCACCCTTTCATTGATGACAAAACCAAGAAGAAGGTTATTATATATTAGCCAGCTCTTTCTTTACTACATACAGTATATGATATATGCACCATAATTTATGTTTGTGTATTTTCCTAAAATTTAACATTGCAATTAATTAAATTCGGTTTGCAGATCATTTTTGTGGAGAATAAACGGTTGAAATCAACATTACTAGAAGACATTGACGAGGACCAACTCCCAGATATCTACGGAGGCAAACAATCATTGGTCCCAATCCATAATGCCTAGCTCTGGTTACTTTTATATGATCTCACTGGGCTTCCATTTAAATATGTGAAATTTGTACTGAATATGACTAAAACATAAGTCATTTCCCAACGTAGGACTTAAATTTTTTTATTTCCTAAATAGAACTTAATAATGAGAAGAATAATTTCCAAGTGATGCTGGACATTTAGTTGAATAATGACTAATAGATAATGATCAATGGTCCTACATTGGGAAATAAAAACATATGGTCCTAAATTGAGAAAGTAATTATGTTTTAGTCCTATTTAGGTAAATTACCCAAATATTTTATTGTTGTGAAATTTTTTTCATTGTGTTCCCTAAGTATAAATAGAGAACAATTCAAACTGATACAACATTTACAGATCAACACACATGTTCCAAATTGAAAGAATCGTACTCCCTCCGTCCGGTAATGTTCTTCCCATTTGACTTTTTTCGGTCTCCAAGATTGCGCTTTGACCATTAATATCTTTATTTATACATGGATATATTTTATAAAAATTTGATATTTGAAAACTATATTTCAAAATGAATATATTGATATTAAAGTTAAATTGTAGTACAATGTATTTTTTCCACATATCATAGTCAAAGTTTACAAATTTTAACCAAGAAAAGTCAAACAGGAAGAATATTTACTGACGGAAGGAGTAACAATATTTATGAGAAAATTTCTGTAAATTTCCGTGTGTCTCCTTGCGTCATCCAAGGAATGTATATATAGTTGTACAAGGAGAAAGGAAATCCCAGGCTTACAAGGAACGCTAGATACGTACAAAAATTATTTCCCCATAATATGCAATCATTAACTATGCCCATAAGTATCTACCACTAACCATAATTATCTACATAAGCCAATAACAATAAATGTAGCGTAATAATATAATTAATCTCGTAACACCCACTTTCAAGTTGAAGCATGTAGTTGACAAATGCCCAACTTGGGAATTGAACTAAAACCTCGAAACGTTCTTTTATTTGTTAGACGCTATGGTCAGAGTATCAGCACACTGATGATGAGTAGAAACATGAGATGTGCGTCTGACACCACGTGCTGTATAAAGAACAGCCGTGCTATCCAGGGCCGGTCCTGAGGATTCATCAGCCTGGGCCGAAAAAAAAAAAAAGGCCCTAAAAATCTTTTATTTAATGATCTAAAAAATTCACATATGTAAACTAATTATATCTAAATAATAATTAACGCAATATTATTAAAAGAAAAAAATAAATGACAAAATTAAAGTATTATAATTACATACCGTAAAAGCTAGCCGTGGATTCGAGAAGTTCTCCTTGCATTCTTGAGAGCAAATTGGTTGATCACATCTTCACAGTCTATGCTCTCTAAGATTTCATTCTCGATAGCTATTACCGCCAATCCACTAAGTTCGTGTTCTTTGACTCTTCTATGAGCATGGTGCCAATCTGCATAACCTTCACCATCCAATTTTCCTTTCGGAATTCCTGTTCTAAACAGTTTACAGCAGAAACAAAATATCTTGGCTACTTCTTTCGAATATACAAGCCATTCTCTATCACACTTCTCCATATTTGGTAAAGTTTTTGTATATAATGCTGCAGAAAAGCGTCTACCATTTTGTCCATCTTTGTCGTATGGGCCATAGTGAATACTATGATCTCTTTTTGGACCTTTCTCCACCAAAAGTTTAATCTCTTCAGAATTAAGTCCTTCCCATCTTCTTGGATCAAATATATCAACAACAGTATGCACTACACTAACCATAGGCTCAAGATGTTCTTCTGCCTCTTCTAAATTTTCTTTCTCTTCTTCTAAATGTTCATCCTCTTTGACATGTTCTTGCTCTATTTGTAGATGCTCTTGCTCTTCCATCTCTTTTACTTCTTCTACTTCTTCGTCTTCAACAACAGGTTTCATAAACTTATATAGAGCTCCGGCTTGAGATTTTCTCATTTCTTCATCTCGTTTTCTCTTTTTTCTTTTTTGACTACCGGATAATTGTTTAGGAGCCATAGCTATTGAATTATTTCTGAAATAAAATCCAAAATCATAAATTCTACTAAGTAAAATCAAGAATAAAAAAACTGAAAAAAACAAGCAAACAAATAAATAAATAAATATATCATAAATTAATATCAATTCGTCAATTTGTCCTTTTCAAATTTAAAACTAATAACTAACCCTAGATTTTAAATCTAAATAATGAAACAATGAAAGAAAATTAAGATTTAAGAAATAAAAATTACAAAATTGGAAAGGGAAGGCTCTGAAGTCTGAATAATTACCTGGAGGCGTGCGAATCGGCGAGTCGGCGTCCGGCGGTGGAGGCGGTGACTCAATCGGCTGTGGCACGTCGTCTCTGGTTCGTCACTTCGTGAATACAATCGGGCGGAATGGGGAAGTTTCTTCCGCAGTTCCGTTCCGTTCTTTTTTTTGGTCTAAGTCAAGGCATTGGTGGACTATTGGGCTTGGGCTTATACATATATATATATTACTAAAAAAAAAATTTGTGCCCCCAAATTTTTTGGGCCCAGCCCGACCGGCCACTTTGTCCCCTATATGGGCCGGCCCTGGTGCTATCGCAAAAATCTGCATGGGAGAAATATGATTCACACCCAGAATAGATAGGAGACCTTTGAGCCATTTAAGCTCACATGTTAGCACAAACATTGAACGATATTCCACCTCCGCAGAAGATCGAGCCACAACGGGTTTCTTCTTCGTTTTCCACGATATCGGGAAAACAACCACAATCACTAACTATGCCCCTAATTATCTACCACTAACCATAATTATATACATTAGCCAATAACAATAAACATAGCGTAATAATATAATCTCGTAACACAAACCAACACACCTATTAACATTAGAAACTATCCATAACTGCTTTAAGAAACTACCGAACTGCTTTTTTAATTAATTAAATATGTAAAACACACTTAACGACATCATACTAACTACCTCTTTATTAACGAATCTGAGCATTAACTCATTACCCATTCGATTATATGTGAACAAACCCAATTAAAATCTTACAATCATGCCCTTAATCGTTATTTGTTCATAGTGATCTTCACAGCAACGCTGGTTCATCATCATCTTCAATCAAATTTGCAATCTGTTCATATGATAAGTGTTATTGTTAGTTTTTTAAACTTTTTACCTTTAAAAGGGTTTTAAATATGTACTCTTAATAAATTTTGTGGCTGATTTGAATTGAAATTTGTTTGCTAATTTGTTAACGTCCTTAGGTGATGATATAAAAAGAAGTTATGGCTTTTGCACAAGGCAAGAAAAGGAGTTATCTCATTTGGAATGGACAAATGGATGGGATACTCATTTCGGGGTTCTACGACCAAATCGAAGAGGAAAACGGATATGTTCAAATTAAAGCAAGATCAATATGACTTTAAATGCGAGGGGGGAAGAAATCCATGACATTGTTTCAAAAGTGGATGGCATATTTCGTCATCAAGTATTGAAAGTAGTTAAGAAGTTTATGAATATGCCAGATGAGTTTCAAATGCTCAAGTACTTGCCTGAAGACGAGAAGCTAGTTGAATTTTGTTGTGCTTGGAAGAGTGATCGAGTTAAGAACAACTGCGAAATATTAAATATTTACTACAAATTTATACTTTTTCTAATTGTCATACATTAGTATGTATTTTGTTTATGAAACAATTGGTCATTATGTTATTTGAGATTATGTTAACAATATTTTATTCATTAATCATTCGAAATGAAATCCTAGTACTTGCCAAACAGCATTAGAATTTGAATTCTAGAATTGAAATTATGAATTTCTCAAACAACATTTAGATTTAAAATTATAAATTTTGAATTTCCTATGTTTGCCAAACATTGGAATGGAATTTGAATTATGAGATTTCAAATTATAGAATTGAAATTCAAAAATTGAAATGAGTTTCCATATCCAAACACTACCTAAGGTTTTTTCCTAAAATTACACTTTGGCATCAAAATCTTTAATTGGTTGCAATTCGGTCTACCATTACACTTTGATCTTAAAATTTAGTAGGGACTATGAGTTTGTCCAAATCTACTCAAGTATTGAACTCGTGCTAGCCATATGTGGAGCTAGAATTGTGAAACAGGCTTCCTGGTAAAGACTATAAATATTGGAATCACCTATAAGACCAATGATTTGAAATTTAAGGTCATGCAGGTGTCGTTGTACACCTGATGGTCCCAAGGGTTAAAGTGTACGTACGACAGTCCACGACCTGCCTCGACACCTCTGTGGTAGGGGCTCCAACCCGCCCAATTGGACACCTTCCATTGGAACCTCCAGGGTGTCCATGACTAGTGTACTTTAGCCGAATGAGTTAAGTATGGTAAGAATATGCAAGGATCTGGAACGAACGAACGGACATACGAACGACTTATTATACTATCTGATAATTGTAATTACTGATTCATCTGATATTGTATGATTATATGTTGATGGGTGCTAGTCTATCCGTTAGTTTTAGCATTAGATACTTCCACTCTCCTTATTTTTACAGGTAAGGGTCAAGGATTGGACGAGGAGCAGCCAGGAGGACAGTGAGACGTGACGCTGGTGGATGGCGGAAGATGTTTGTTTTAAATTAATAATATTTGGACGAGTTTATTTATCTACATTACAAGGATGTTGGATATTGTTTCTAAACGCTTGCGCAACATTTGAATTATTTACTCCAATCAAACTATGATTTGATTTTAAATAAATGTATGAATGTTTTTTTATTTTTTAAAAATATTTTTAAAATATTATGCATGTGAATAACAAATTCGTAGCAACCCGATTCACTAACTTGTCGATTCGGGTTACTGATACGAACTCGTATCGGTTAGGGAAGACTTAGAGCGTCTTCAAGCTCCTGAGAATATGGGACGAGGAAGAAGAAGAAGAATTGAGATGAAGAGAATTGGCGAACCGAGAGAGGAGACGGGATTAGGGTTTGATTTGTTTATTCATTGATTTACTCTAAAGGGGTTACATCTCTTTATATAGGGAAGAAGGAAACCCTAACGCTAACCTGACGGTCCAATAAAAGCGACGAGGGAAAGAACCGTAAAGAAACCTCGAAGGAGCTTATAATTTCGCTCACCTAATAAAATCTACATTACAACTACAACAACAACAACAACAAGAATAATAATAATAATAATAATAATAATAATAATAATAATAATAATAATAATAATAATAATAATAATAATAATAATAATAATAATAATAATAATAATAATTGTATTGGGCCAAAATGTGGGAGACCAACCCCAAAAATGCTCACTTATCAATAAAGTTGGGTGAGGTTCCCCAGTCTCACCACACCGATTTTGGTGTTTGTTTCTGGGATTAAAAAAATAATAATAATAATAATAATCATCATCATCATATTAATAATACTATTAAATATCCTACTCTACTATCCATAACACTCTCACCTCCTTAGAAAACCACCTTGTCCTCAAGGTGGAGGCTCCCACTCATGCTTCGAGACTGGAGAGAAAATGTTGACCCAAAGACTATGCCCACTTGATGATAGATCTCCATTAAGCCTGCAAATTGGAGTATATCGATGGACATAAGAGAGAAGAGCAAATGCAAACTTAGCTACCGGCGGTGAAACCCTATACTCGGACTCCACTATATTCGCATGGGCAGAGGACTGGATGATATCAAAGGACAATGAGATGTCCGCTTGCCTATAATTCACATCTGCTACTTGGGCTGTTTTGAACGAAGGCACAAGGCTACATGCGATGATGACATTGCTCAATGTTGGATCCTTTGCAACTTCTCCTTTACCTGGTGCATCTACGTGCGTATCAACAACGACAAGATCTGATGGAAAGGCATTAACAGTACCTTCAACAAAAACACCATCAGCATCAACTGTAGGAACTCTCACTGTATCCCCAATCGTACGCTCCACATCAGTAGATGTAGGATTGTGTAGAGTGGTTGTGGGGACCAGATCAGGTGGAGCCATGGGAATACCGAGAAGATTCCTTATAGCGTTCATCATCCTTATTTTGAAACTTTTTAACTCCAAGGGAATATCACTCAATGCCATTGGAGTACCACGCACCAAATCTTGTATCGAGCAAGAGATTTCCACATTGAACGCAAATAACTCAGAATCAGAAGAGAAGATTCCTTATAGCATTCATCATCCTTATTTTGAAACTTTTTAACTCCAAGGGAATATCACTTAATGCCATTGGAGTACCACGCACCAAATCTTGTATCGAGCAAGAGATTTCCACATTGAACACATATAACTCAGGATCAGAATACGGTAGATTTAAAAGATGACGAAATAAGTGGAATGTCTTCAAAATTTCATCCACATGATCATAAGCTATACAGACTCCGTCATGTAACTCAACTCTTCCATAAAAGATATTCTTCAACAAACAAAGAAGTTTGTCCAAAATATCATACATTGTCATGATGATTTTATCAAAAGTGGAGGCCATAGGTCTACCAACATAGAATTACTGCCCAGGCCAAAATTCTTGATGTAAAAAGCAATGCTCAAGACTCTTGAAGAGCACTAAATTTGCAGATTAGAAGAAAAAAAATAGTGCGCACAAACGTAAAGCCACTTGCGACAGAATGCTTCTAAACCTTTTTATTTTGTTTTTTTTTTGCCTCGCTGGTTGTGCAAATCAAAGCATCCAAAATAATAATGATAAACCTGGTGCGGCTAGGACAATTCGGCCGGCAATCTGATGGTGCGACGGAGGGCACAAGATTTAGTGCTGCAAAAGTAGATCGGCGGCAGGAGTTTTTCGGGAAACTAGGGACGATTTTTTTTTTTTGGAGTTCAAATCAACAGCGGCTATGAAGTGCTCTACGGATCTTAGGAATATTTCAGCGGAACAATAATCCGGCGGCAATTCCTGGACTATGTGATCGGCGAGAAGGCTTGGATCTGCAGCTGATTGTGAGCGGTTTTGTTGAGATTGAGATTTTTTTTTTGTTTTTTTTGTTTTTTTGGAGTTCTTCTCAACGAGAGCACCAATGATACGAATATCGTATCGGATAGGAAGAACTTCGAGCGTCTTCGGGCTCCAAGAAAAGGGAGGCAAAGGGAGAAAGAAAACTTCGAGCGTTTCCGGGCTCTAAGAACAGAGAGACGAGAGATTAAGATAATTCTTGATTATTGATTGATTGAATAATAATAACGAAGGGTTACAATATATAAAGAACGAAGATAACCCTAATTGACCTAATGGGCTTGGGCCCATACTAAAATCCTAAACCATCAATAAATAATAATAAGTAACTACTAAATAATAATATAACTAATTAAAATATTCTAATTAACTATTTGTATCATATAATACGAATATCGTATCGGATATGGAAGAACTTCGAGCGTCTTCGGGCTCCAAGAAAGGGGAGGCAAAGGGAGAAGGAAAACTTCGAGCGTTTCCGGGCTCCAAGAACAGAGAAACGAGAGGTTAAGAGAATTCTTGATTATTGATTGATTGAATAATAATAACGAAGAGTTACAATATATAAAGAACAAAGATAACCCTAATTTACCTAATGGGCTTGGCCCATACTAAAATCCTAAACCATCAATAAATAATAATAAGTAACTACTAAATAATAAGATAACTAATTAAAATATTCTAATTAACTATGTATCATTCCCACCCCCTTAAAATCCACCTTGTCCTCAAGGTGGAGGCTCCCACTCGTGCTTTAAGACCAGAGACAGAATGCTGAACCAATGGAGCAGTCCACTCTTTGAATCTTCAGCGAGCCTGGCTCTTGCAGCAAAGTGGTGGAAAAAGGAGACGGAGCGCATAGCATATGTAGTTGCTCTCGGTGAAACCAGGTGCTCCATCTTGACCACATCGATAAGGTCAAACAATTTAATGGTGTCATTAAATGAAATGAGGTTGTCCACTTGCTTCTTATCTGCATCTGCCACCTTCTCGATACTTGCTAGAACTTCATACCCTGTAATTGTCATCCCATATGAGGCATTTAGTGGTACAGATAATTCACGAGGTGTAGAATCTGATTTGTTTAATGGCTCGTCACTCAAAATATTAGCACCATAATCATCATCAAGAACACCACCATCATTGCCAACGACGTCAGACTCGCTATCATTGTCCACATTGATAAATTAAAAGATTTCTCGCTTGATTCCTTTAGTTCATTTGTGTCCTCCACAGTCGGGGCGGGGAGTGTGTTGGCGTTTTCCACCATGTGGGCAAATGTGTCTCTAGACTTCTCCGATGTCTTCTCAAAACAAATATAATCCAAATCATGTAGCGGAGCAAATCGTATATGAAACTTTTTAATAAAATCCTCCCAACCATCAAGCCACCACGCATATGCCAATTAAACCAAGCCAAGGCAGAGCCCTCTAACATTGATGTCACACGGTTCAAACGATCAACTAAAGGGATCTCATAAAACTCAAAATACTCACATACCTTGGCTAACCACTGCAAGGATTCAGATCCGTCACATTTTGGGGGCAACGTGGGTAGAGAAAGTGGAGCGCCTGGTACTTTTCGTATAGTATCCATAATGTGTGCTCTGAAAACTTGTAATTCTAAAGGAATTTGACTTGGCACAATTGGAGGTCCACGGACCAAATCCTGGACTGAGCAAAAGATTTCTACGTCGAGTGCACCATAATTAATTTGACCTTCAAAATGACGGATCGACCTAAGCTTCTTAATAAGTTCATACACGTGATCAAAAATCATACACACTCCTTCGTCATACTCAATTTCCCCATAAAAAATATTTTCCAACAATCCAACAAGTTTGTCTAATGCACTGGTCGTCAATGAAATATAGGAGTCAGCCATCATGTCAACTCCACGCACAGAGAATTAATGGTGACAGAATCCAAATAAGAAAAGTCACTTACCAAGCAATTTTGACAACCAAATTAGTGGGCCGAAATATTACTCAAAAGTGCGAGTGGGCCGCACCAAAAATCACAAAGGGCTCCAATTGTATCTCCCAATTTACTGTGCTGGCACTCCAAATTGCAGCAAAGCCTTCTCTTTTTTTTTCGTGCTTGTCGTTGTGCAAATCAAGAAAACCTGGAAGCTGCTTAGATAATATGGATGGAAACCCAATGAATTGCTTCGTATAATCCGAAGTATCTAAAGCCTCCCAATGCTCCAGGCACACAGCAATTTGACTCTCTGTTCGCGATTCAAGGCAGCGACGAGGGGCGCGGCAGTGAAGCAAATTCAGGTCGGCGACAATGAATCTGGCTCACAAGCACAACCTTTTCTAAATTAAATCAAAATTGGAGTGGGGTAGCTGGTGAAAAATCAAAATGGCAGACGACAATAGATCTGGCCAAGGTTGGAGTTGAATCGCCCTTTGAGTTTACAGATGATTTGTTTTTTTTTTGTTTTTTGGAAGATCTCTAAATGAGAACACCAATGATACGAACTCGTATCGGATAGGGAAGACTTAGAGCGTCTTCAAGCTCCTGAGAATATGGGACGAGGAAGAAGAAGAAAAATTGAGATGAAGAGAATCGGTGAACCGAGAGAGGAGACAGGATTAGGATTTGATTTGTTTATTCATTGATTTACTCTAAAGGGGTTACATCTCTTTATATAGGGAAGAAGGAAACCCTAACGCTAACCTAACGGTTCAATAAAAGCGACGAGGGAAAGAACCGTAAAGAAACCTCGTAGGAGCTTATAATTTCGCTCACCTAATAAAATCTACATTACAACAACAACAACAACAACAACAACAACAACAACAACAACAACAACAACAACAACAACAACAACAGCAACAATAATAATAATAATAATAATAATAATAATACTATTAAATATCCTACTCTACTATCCATAGCAGTTACGCGGGTTGGGGTTTTACATCCTCGGTTGGCTTTTTGATGCTTTCCTAAAATGTTTTCAATATTCCAACTGCTTCTTGAAACGCCACTGTGTTAATGTTGGCAAAGTGTTATTGAAAAGTGATAGTACGGATTACAACAGGAAAAATGAACGGCCTCAGAAAAACTAAAAAAAATCAATCCAAATTTATAATTTATTTGGATTATTACAAAAATTAAATAAAATAAATAGATTCAAATCTTCAACGACCTTGCATGACAATAGTGACGTTTACTAGAATTGTGGCAACGAACTGAGACATAGACCGTGCGAATAATATATGCAAAATAGAACACTGTAGAAGGACAGCGGAGTCGCCAAAGCTGTCGTTAAGGTAGTAGTGGTCGCCTACCGTACCGGAAAAACGTAGGCTCTCTCCTCCTAGGATAAAACCGTAATCCTGTGTGGTTATAATACGGACCTACCAGACACCAACGAACAAGAACAACGTCGGGACATTGGCGACCAAAAACTTGAAGGGAATCACCTGAAATTTTGCCAGAAAATCAAGAGCTATCTCTAAACAAAAAGTGAAGAAAGATTTTTTCCTTTCTTTTTTCCCCACGTATGAATCGCCAAATTGAAAAAGGCTCCAATATCTTTAATAAGAAAAACAAACGTGTTACCCCTTGTACATTAAATATACACTAATTGCCCACTAAAGCAACTAAACCTCTTAGGCTTTGTTCCGTATGCCTGATCTGATTGAATCTGATCTGAATTTTTGATGTTCTGATCTGATCTGATTGGGTCTGATCTGATCTGATTGGATCTGATTTGATCTGATTAGATCTGATCTGATCTTATTGGATCTGATCTGATCTGATTGGGTCTAATCTGTTAGACAAAAGTGCAACTCTAGAGGGGGGTGAATAGAGTTATTTGCTAGAATGTGCGTAAATCGCGTGTGTGATAATTAAACAAAATCGCAGGAAAAATGTAAAGAGCAAAGGGAAAGAGTACACCGTGATTTATACTCGTTCACCACCTCGTGGCTAGTCTAGTCCTCCGAGAGACTCTCTCAAAGGTTCTACTAAACTTCAAGCTTCACCGGGTGCTTGAAAAACCGATACAACTCGAGAACTTGAATCACACATGCCTCAACTTCTTACAACAAGACTTGAGTCACACAATCCTTAACAACAACAAGACTTGAATCACACAAGTCTTAGCAACACTCAAATAAGATTGAGTTTACAACACAAGAATGAAAGCTCACACAATTATATTTGAGCAAGAAGTTTTGAAATATGAAAGCTCTATGGATGACAAAATCTTTAGCACTCAATAAAAATATTTCTAACTCTCAAAATAATATATTTGATGAGGAAGATGGAAGCAAGAATTGAATATTGATCAATGAAGATATTGGAGTGCAAGAGATGTATTTTTAATGAAGGAGGATGAGGGTTTTTATAAGGGAAAAATAAATAAATCCGTTGGAAGTAGGGAAGGCTGATTTTGACAGATAAAAGACGTTGGGATCGATCCAGGGCTGAAAATCGATCATCTGGAATAAGCCATCGAACATAAATTTCTGTCAAAGCTTCGGGGGATCGATCCAAGGCACGGGATCGATCCTCTGGAACCAAAAACGGAAAGGGAAATTTCACAAAGTAACGGGGGATTGATCCAAAGAGGATAATCGATCCTCCGAAGAAATTTCCGAAAAATATGTTGATCGATCTAAACGAAAGGACCGATCCAACTCCCTGAACATTCACGCGGTGATCAATCTAAACAAAAGGATCGATCCACTAACGGACATATCCCAAACAAGAGGACCCAAAGCATGTGTGCGATTTGAGTGAATATTTTGGAGCTTAATGACTTGTTTTGGACAAGGATTTGAGTATGATAAGGCTCCCATAAACAAACAAACCAAAAAGGTTGGAAAAAATTAATTCAAATTAAAAATTTGAATTAAGTAATGAATTTGTGTAGAAATTGAGTCCCAAAAATATTTTGTGTCAAACGATGTACAAGAAAAATTTTTAAAATATATTTTTCTTACCACAAAAAATTTGTGTATCCTTAAAAAGTATTTTTAAGAAATTTTGACACACTATTTTGAAACTGACTCAGTAAAATCTTTTTAGACAGAGAAAAAATGATTTTTAAACTGACTCAGAAAATAATAATTTTTATCCCTCAAAAGTTAATTTGTTTATGCAAAAATTATTGTCATCCTTACAAATATTCCTAGACTCAATAAAAAAATAAAAATTCTTCGGAGTCTTTACTTCACTTCAAAAATTCTGCGTAGGGGTGAGTGTTGATTTTTATTGCCGTAAATTTCTTGATACGCCTCTTTGCTTTTCTCGATACGAAAAATAAATCTTCGATTATCATTTGAATTTAATCATCCTGTTTGTCATACATCAAAACAAAAATATTCCAGAATAATAAAGGGGTTTGAACTCATGTCCAACATAATCTGATCTGATTGGGTCTGATCTGATATGATTGAATCTGATCTGATCTGATTGGATCTGATCTGATCTGATTAGATCAGATTTTCTCTAATTACAAAATTTAATAGTCTAAAAGTATTACAATTCATATATACATAAAAAAAGTAAAATATGAAAATCAGCTAATCATTAATATGTTTAAACTGTTTTTTAAAATATTAAACCTCTTTTTAATATCACAACTTTTTTAATTATCACATTCTATATACATATTACATAACAATATATTTCATGATACAAATTAAAGATCATATAAAATTTTAAACACTAATATCGCTTTCACCTCTATCAATTTTGTCCTAAACTCACCCTTGAGTATATTATACCATCTTAAAGTTTAAAAGTAAGTCTTTTTAAGTAAAAAATATTTATAGTTTTGAAAACTAAGTTTTGTATAATTATTTTATAAACAAGTATTTTAAAATAACTCTTTTTAAAGTATGAAAAATAAAACTTTTTAAGCTTTAACATTGCTTCCATGCATCATTTCTATCCTACAAGCTAAACAATTATATAAAATAATGGTTTGTAGTTGAAATATAATAATAATAATAATAATAATAATAATAATAATAATAATAATAATAATAATAATAATAATAATAATAATAATAATAATAATAATAACAATAATAATAACAATAATAATAACAATAATAATAACAATAATAATAAAAATAATATTTAAAATTATAATATTAATTAATATTTAGGTGTGTGTAGTTTTAAATAAAGTAATGTGATTTAATCAAATAATAGTAATTATTATTTAATCCTTGAATAATATATATATATATATATATATATTATCTTTTATATTTTTTCTTGATTTGATAATATTAGATTTGATCTGATCTGATCTAATTGGATCTGGTCTGATCTGATCGGACCTGATCTGATCTAATTGGATCTGGTCTGATCTGATCTGATTGAGTCTGATCTGATCTGATTGAGTCTGATATGATCTGATTGAGTGTGATCTGATCTGATCTGATTTTAATAAGAATAAGTAATAAGTAGAAAAAATAAGTCCTACGGAACGGACCCTTAGTCGTGTATGGAGAGTCCACCATATTCATTAGTGTATTAGTAACACATTAATGTCTCACCATTAACATGGGGGTTACACACATTTTTGTATAAAATTATTCCATTTAATTGAAGATTAGTGACCAGTAATTCCGTAAAAGTGGAATAATTTTAAACAACATGTAAAAAATAATAATAGAAGATTAGTTAATTAAAATTGCAAAAAAATTGCAATCCTTATCATATTCTTCTATTAACAAGTTAACTTTGAAAATAAATTTCTCATTCACCCTCTATCATTTTTGGTGTATAAATAATCAAAATATTAATCTCATTTAAGAGAGCATACATCCACTAATTAACGGTTAAAACCGTTAGTGGACCTATTAATAAATATACCCAAGTTGGTCCATTTAATGCTTATTAAAAATGTCAAAAAAATTTGGCAAGAGTTTGAAGGATAGTAAAAAAAAATTGGCAAGAGTTTTCTTTAAAAGAATTCCTAGTAAAAATGCCACAAAGGGACAATATGTTCTAAAAAAGAACAATATTGCCAAACTAACAATGATATCAATACACAATCATAATTAACATCATCAATTAACAACAATAACTAGCATCATTCAAAGTAACATCATCATCCACCAAAAGAGTCATAAAAACAATAACATTTAACAATGTATCATAAATAAGTCATCACATAAAAGAGAGAGAGAGAAGTCAAAGTGAGCTCGACGGCCGGGATCCACCCCTGTAACTGTGACGCGGTCCGAGATATGGTCGTCGCTCTATCCCCGTCATCCGCTGCTCAAGACGCGAGAGACGATGACCTTGCATGGTCACCTCCATGCGAGTGTGCGCCACATTCGTCTGAGTACAAGTCACGGCGTCTAAAATCCGTTGAAGGATGGACCGATCAGGGCGATGCGAAGAAGTAGAGCGTGACACCCGAGTAGGAGAGGAAGGCCAAGTCGATTCCACTTGAGTGATTTCTTGGACATGCGCCGGTTTGCCTTCCGGGTCATGTTCTTCTTCACCCTCTTCTTCTCCTTCTTCTTCTTCTTCTCCTTCTTCTTCTTCTCGTCCTTCTTCTTCTCCTCCTTCTTGCACGGCCCTTGGTACATTAGAGCGGTTGAAGGTCGCGAAATCGATGTACCACGTGTGGTTCTTGTTGACGTGGATGTCTTTTATCAAAGGCACCTTAAATGCGCTCAAGATGTTCATGATCGGGAACACATACCCAAGAGACCCTTTTGACTTCATGAGAAGAAGGTTATTGCAAAAGAATTTCGCCCAATTGATTTTAATATTCTTAAAAAACACAAAAAGAAGACGAGTGTCCGATGAAAGTATTTTGGAATGGCTCGACTTATGAGGAGCTAATACTTTCGAAATGAAGTAATGAAGAATTCGGAAATGAGGCTTAAGACCTCCAACAGTTTGGCGTTCACGCCCATGAGCTTCTTCAAGACAGACCTCGGTAATGGTGTCGTAGGGAGAAAAAGTTTTGAATTCCTTAGACGTAAACTTGTGGAAATCACATCCCTCAAAAGAAAATTTGAAAAGTTCACCGATATCCTTGAGAGTAATCTCAATGTGGGTGCCATTTACGGAGGTTTTGAGGACCCGTCCGTTGAAAGTGAGATTTGTATAAAACAACCGAATGAGATTCGGACAAAAGACATCAAAATTCTCACGAACAAAGGAAGTAACACCGAGTTTATCAATGAAAATAGTCGCATCTTTGAATGGAAGATAACAAAATACGGAATGTAGAACGGATTTGGGCGTTAAAATAGGACGATTCAAAAAATCACTATAGAAAGGGCGTTTGGAATCACCTTTTGTTCCTCTTGGGTTGTTGATTCACCGATATGAGACTTTGAGCGCAAACGTTTACTACCTCGACGATCCGACATGGTGGCTAGGGTTGGTGCACAAGAAAAACGAGAAACCCTAAGAGAAGAAGAAAAGCACTTAATCACATGTAATCGAGCAAATAAGTAACAATAATCATCAATTTGCAACAATTAACAAACAATTTGGAAGAAATTGAAGAGAATTTGAAGAAAAGAGGTGAAAAATCGAACCTGTGATATGTTTCGTGTTCGTCGCAGCAGTGGAAGTGAGACCAGGTTTCGAAAATGAAAATAAATGAAGAGGGGAGAGTATTTATACCATTAGTCCAAATGATCGATCCAGCCAAATAGATCGATCCACCGTAGAAGTGGAGATGTCGCAATTAGTTCCAGGTGATCGATCCCTGTTCTTGGATCGATCCGCCGATTCAGAGCCTGGAACCAGATAAAACCATGGATCGATCCACAAGATTGGATCGGTCCTCTGACGTTGGGCTGAATCCAGATTTCAGCAAATTAGCCCAGGTGATCGGTCCATCTGTTTGGATCGATCTACCGAAGTTTTACTTGAAAAAGCTTCGGTTTGGGTGATCGATCCAATTGTGGGGATTGATTCCCTTTGTTCCAGTTTCGAAAAATGCCCTGAAACACTGAAAGAAAATACCCTGCAAAAAAAGAATTATTGCGCCTCCGACGCTCAAATTAGTATCATCAATAAAAAGAATGAATTAGTTCATAGAGATATCCAAAATGCCAAGTTCGTTCCGAATGTGGAAGAAACTCTCCCTACAAAGGGGTTTCGTGAAAATGTCCGCCAATTGATGTTTCGTTTCAACAAACTCAATTGTGACATCTCCCTTTTGGACATGATCTCGAATGAAGTGATGCCTAATTTCTATGTGTTTAGTCCGCGAGTGAAGAACGAGGTTCTTCGTTAGACAACAACAACAACAACAACAACAACCCAGTTAAATCCCACAAGAGTAGGGTCTAGGGAGGGTGTGTGTACGCAGACCTTGCCCCTACTCGAAAGTAGAGAGGCTGTTTCCAAAGAGACCCCCGGCTCAACGTCGAAAGTTGCATTGCTTGACTAACTGCTACTTCATTAATTAAAGAAGCGCAAATAGTTTAGATATCCATTTTGATTTATTCCATCACACCCCAAAGCCAAAAACAGGTGAAATTTTGGCTCCATCGGAGATGATGGAAATAACACTCATATTGTCTCACCTAATTGGGATGTGATCAAGTATAAGGCCGAAATCCACTAGTTGTTTTAGCCAAAGAATTTGGGCACAACAACTTCCCGCAGCGACATATTCCGCTTCGGTGGTTGAAAGTGCAACACTAACCTGCTTTTTACTAAACCACGAGATTAACGAATGACCGAATAAGTGGCAAGTATCGCTGGTACTTTTCCTATCGAGTTTGCAACCTACAAAATCCGAGTCGGAATAGCCAACAAGATGACATGTCGAACCTTTGGGATACCAAAGACCTACGTTCAACGTGCCCGCGAGATATCGCATTATCCTTTTGATCGCAACCAAGTGCGACTCTTTAGGACATGATTGATACCTAGCGCATATACAAACGGAGTACATGATATCCGGTCTAGTCGCGGTAAGGTAAAGTAAAGAGCCGATCATACCTCGGTAGCGTTTGATATCTACCTCTTTACCTTTTTCATCCTTGTCGAGATAGCAAGAGGTACTCATTGGCGTGTCAATGGATTTGGATTCGGTAACATCGAATCTCTTAAGCAATTCCCTGCAATATTTCGTTTGACACACGAATGTTCCTTCTTTGCATAGTCTAATTTGCAGCCCAAGGAAGAATTTTAATTCTCCCATCATCGACATTTCAAATTCGCTTTGCATCATATCGGAAAAATCCCTGCACAAAACCTCGTTAGTAGCACCGAATATGATATCATCTACGTAAACTTGAACCAAAAGGATGTCTTGGTTATCTTTCTTGATGAAAAGAGTAGTGTCGACTTGACCCCGTTTGAACTCATGGTCCAAAATAAATTTTCTTAACCGTTCATACCAAGCACGAGGTGCTTGTTTGAGCCTGTAAAGCGCCTTTTTGAGTTTGAAGACATGTTCGGGAAACTCATAGTCTTCGAAACCCAGGGGTTGTTCGACATACACTTCCTCTTGAATGATACGATTAAGGAAGGCACTTTTAACATCCATTTGATAAAGTTTAAAATCCATCGTAGATGCAAAAGCAAGTAATAAGCGAATTGCTTCTAAACGTGCAACCGGTGCATAAGTTTCTTCATAATCAATGCCTTCTTCTTGATTGTAGCCTTTAGCTACAAGCCTAGCTTTGTTTCTAGTGATTACTCCATTTTCATCGAGTTTGTTACGAAACACCCATTTTGTGCCAATAACGGAATGATCATTAGGTCTACGCACCAATTCCCAAACATCATTGTGTTTAAATTGGTTAAGCTCCTCTTGCATTGCCATAAACCAATGTTCATCATTAATAGCATCCAAAACGGTTGTTGGTTCAATTTGAGAAACAAAGGCCATGTGATTAATTGTGTCCTTAAGAGAATTACGAGTAGAAACTTCCTGCGCTATGTCACCAATGACGTTGTCAATCGGGTGATTCTTCAACGTTCTCCACTCCTTAGGAAGCTCCGTTTGCTCCTGCGTTTTCTCTTCTTCCGGTTCCTTTTCCTTAACGATTTCTTCTTCATCATCAAAAGAGCCTGCAACATTATCAACAATACCTTTTCTCGCCAAGCGAGCATCAAATTCATCAAAGACAACATGAATAGACTTCTCTACGGTCTTAGTACGCTTGTTGAACACTCTATATGCCTTACTACGAAGAGAATAACCCATGAAAATTCCTTCATCCGACTTAGCATCAAATTTTCCCAAGTTATCTTTTCCATTATTATGAATAAAAACTTTACATCCAAAAACATGAAAATAGGAAAGGTTAGGCTTTCTTCCTTTGTAAAGTTCATAGGGCATTTTCTTGAGTATCGGTCTAATGACGGCTCGGTTTAACACGTAGCACGCGGTACTCACGGCATCCGCCCAAAAATATTTAGGAAGGTTTGCCTCATTGAGCATAGTTTGAGCCATCTCTTCAAGAGACCTATTTTTCCGTTCAACCACGCCATTTTGTTGTGGTGTACGGGGGGATGAGAAATTATGCTCAATGCCTAATTCGTCACAAACGACATCAAAGCCGTCTTGATCAAATTCTCCCCCATGATCACTTCTAATGGATGCAATGTGAGAATCTTTTTCATTTTGAACCAATTTAATGAATTTCTTAAAAGCATTAAGTGCATCATACTTGTGAGCTAGAAAGAGTGTCCATGTAAACCTCGAATAGTCATCAACGATACCAAAGCCAAAGTAATTACCTCCTAAACTCATAGTTCTTGAAGGTCCAAAAAGGTCCATGTGCAAAAGTTGTAATGGCCTAGTCGTAGAGACAACGTTCTTTGACTTAAACAAGGCCCTTACTTACTTCCCCTTTTGACACGCATCACAAATTAGATTCTTCTCAAACTTAAGTTTAGGAACACCAATTACTAAGTCTTTAGAAACCAACTTATTAAGATGGTCCATATTAATGTGAGCTATCGGACGATGCCATAGCCACGTTTCTTCCTCTTTGGTAATGAGGCACTTAGCTAAGATAGACGGGGAATTTTCAAGATCAAACATGTAAATTTTATCTACTCTACTACCACAAAGAATAGTCTTATTGTCACACAAGCGTTCTACAATGCATTTACTAGAATCAAAGATGACACAGTTACCTCTATCGCACAATTGGCTAATGCTAAGAAGATTGTGCTTGAGGCCCTCAACAAGAAGAACGTTCTCAACGGTTGTAGCATTGTCTCTTCCGACGGTGCCACTTCCAATGATCCTTCCTTTGTTGTTGTTGCCAAAAACGACATTGCCACCTTTGAAATACTCTAAACTCCTAAATTTGGATGCGTCTCCGGTCATGTGCTTGGAGCATCCGCTATCGAGATACCAAGAGGTACTCGAAGCCTTCAAGTACACCTACAAAAAGATATCAAGGAGACGGTTTAGGTACCCATGTATTTTTGGGTCCTTTTTGGTTAGCATATGTGCGATGTGTGTGCGTTTGTTGGAAATGCTTAAGTTTGGTGAAGCACACGGGTGCAATGTGACCTATCTTATTACAATAATGGAAAATAACATTTGGATTATTCATCCTATATGGTTGAGTGTAATGAGTTCTAGGTTTGCTAGGAGGTGCTCTTCCAGTTTGATTATTTGTCCTAGCATTTTTATTTCCCTTAGCTTTAACAAATGTTGTTTTTCTAGGTTGGTTTTTCTTATATCCAAGTCCTTCACCATTACTATGTTTTTGCCTAAGTATTTTATCTAATGTGTTTGAGGAATTATTAAACTTTCCCAATTTGCTTTCTAAACTAGCAACTTTAGCTTTTAATGATGTACAACTAGAGCATGTAGAAGAAGAAGTAGATGAAGGTTCTTGTGGCCTTTTTCCAAAAGAGATAATTTCTTGTTTAAGTTAATCATTTATATTTTTGAGTTCTTTGACATCGTTCTCAAAAATCAGGATTTTTTGATTTATTTCATTGTTTTCTTTGGAATCCTTTTTGAACATTCCTACAAGTTCTTCTACAATGCAAACTACATCATTAAGAGTTAAAGGATCATTGGGAGAAGGTTCTTGATCACTTACCTCTTTTGATGTTTCTCCATCTTCAATGGCCATGAGACATAGATTGGCCACTACTTCCGTTTCCGAGTCTTCGCTCCCGGAGCTGTCGTTCTCCCAAGAAATGTAGGCACGTTGCTTCTTCGGTGCCCTCTTGTCTTTCTCGTTCTTGAGCTTCAGACACATTGGTTTGATGTGTCCAATTTTACCACACCCATACTTGGGTGGAGTGTTCTTCTTGGCTCCCTTCTTGAGCATCATCTTCTTGAATTTTCGGACAAAGAGTCCGAGGTCGGTGTCGTCGCTGTCATCATCTTCATCATCAACGTTGTTGTGGGTTGATGTTGTTGCGGGTAGAGCAATAGACCTCTTGCTCCTCTCTTCAACCACCTTTGAGAGTTGAGTGGTTTCGTAGGTAATAAGATTACCTCGAAGAGCATCATAGGTCGTTGTTTGGAAGTCACGACCTTCTTCGATTGCGTCCACCTTTGAACACCATTTTGGGGATAAGCTTTGTAGCACCTTTCTCACAAGTTCTCGGTCGGTGTATGTCTTCCTGAGAAGATTGAGAGGATTGATAATGTTAGAGAATCTCTCAAACATTTCTTCAATCTTCTCATTTTCCTTCATTGAGAAGAGTTCATACTCGTGAGTGAGATGGTCGATTTTGGCCTCCCAAACCTGCACGGTTCCTTCGTAGGTGACCTCCAATTTTTCCCACATTTGTTTTGCGGTTTCACACCGCGAGATTTTGCGGTAGTCATCCGCATTAACACCGCAATAAATTATGTTTATTGCCTTTGCGTTGAGCTCCATCTTTTTGCAATCTTCGTCGGTGAACTCTTCTTCGGTTTTGGGGACGTTGACTTCACCGACTTTCTTCATCGGGACTCCACACCCGTTCTTGACTATCAACCACAGTTTGTAGTCATTGGATTGGATGAAAATCCTCATCCTCTCCTTCCAATAGGAGTAGTTGGTTCCGTCGAACAACGGTGGCCTTGTGGTTGATTGTCCCTCGCTAACTCTTGCGTTGAACATTCTCGATGCCATTGATCTTTGAGTTCCCGAAAATTAAGAAGTATTCGAAGAACTTCCTGCTCCGATACCAATTGTTAGACAAAAGTGCAACTCTAGAGAGGGGGTGAATAGAGTTTTTTTCTATAATGTGCGTAAATTGCGTGTGTGATAATTAAACAAAATTGCAGGAAAAATGTAAAGAGCAAAGGGAAAGAGTACACCGTGATTTATACTGGTTCACCACATCGTGGCTAGTCCAGTCCTCCGAGAGACTCTCTCAAAGGTTCTACTAAACTTCAAGCTTCACCGGGTGCTTGAAAAACCGATACAACTCGAGAACTTGAATCACACAAGCCTCAACTTCTTACAACAAGACTTGAGTCACACAAGCCTTAACAACAACAAGACTTGAATCACACAAATCTTAGCAACACTCAAATAAGATTGAGTTTACAACACAAGAATGAAAGCTCACACAATTTGAGCAAGAAGTGTTGAAATATAAAAGCTCTATGGATGACAAAATCTTTAGCACTCAATAAAAATATTTCTAACTCTCAAAATAATATATTTGATGAGGAAGATGGAAGCAAGAATTGAATATTGATCAATGATGATATTGGAGTGCATGAGATGTATTTTTAATGAAGGAGGATGAGGGTTTTTATAAGGGAAAAAGAAATAAATCCGTTGGAAGTAGGGAAGGCTGATTTTGACAGATAAAAGACGTTGGAGATCGATCCAGGGCTGAAGATCGATCATCTGGAGTAAGCCATCACAAATAAATTTCTGTCAAAGCTTCGGGGGATCGATCCAAGGCACGGGATCGATCCTCTGGAACCAAAAACGGAAAGGGAAGTTTCACAAAGTAACGGGGGATCGATCCAAAGAGGATAATCGATCCTCCGAAGAAATTTCCGAAAAATATGTTGATCGATCTAAACGAAAGGACCGATCCAACTCCCTGAACATTCACGCGGTGATCGATCCAAACAAAAGGATCGATCCACTAACGAACATATCCCAAACAAGAGGACCCAAAGCATGTGTGCGATTTGAGTGAATATTTTGGAGCTTAATGACTTGTTTTGGACAAGGATTTGAATATGATAAGGCTCCCATAAACAAACAAACCAAAAAGGTTGGAATCAATTAATTCAAATTCAAAATTTGAATTAAGTAATGAATTTGTGTAGAAATTGAGTCCCAAAAATATTTTGTGTGTCAAACGATGTTCAAGAAAAATTTTTAAAATATATTTTTCTTACCACAAAAAATTTGTGTATTTTTAAAAAGTATTTTTAATAAATTTTGACACACTATTTTGAAACTGACTCAGTAAAATCTTTTTAAATAGCGAAAAAAATGATTTTTCAACTGACTCAAAAAATAATAATTTTTATCCCTCAAAAGTTAATTTGTTTATGCAAAAATTATTGTCATCCTTACAAATATTCCTAGACTCAATAAAAAAATAAAAAGTCTTCGAAGTCTTTACTTACTTCAAAAATTCTGCGTAGGGGTGAGTGTTGATTTTTATTGCCGTAAATTTCTTGATACGCCTCTTTGCTTTTCTCGATACGAAAAATAAATCTTCGATTATCATTTGAATTTAATCATCCTATTTGTCATACATCAAGACAAAAATATTCCAGAATAATAAAGGGGTTTGAACTCATGTCCAACATAATCTGATCTGATTGGGTCTGATCTGATATGATTGAATCTGATCTGATCTGATTGGATCCGATCTGATCTGATTAGATCTGATTTTCTCTAATTACAAAATTTAATAGTCTAAAAGTATTACAATTCATATATACATAAAAAAAGTAAAATAAGAAAATCAGCTAATCATTAATATGTTTAAACTGTTTTTTAAAATATTAAACCTCTTTTTAATATCACAACTTTTTTAATTTTTGTGAAAACTAAATAGTCAGTATTAAAATAAACAAATATTAGAAAATATTGATGATATTCTACAAAATTATCACATTCTATATACATATTACATAACAATATATTTCATGATACAAATTAAAGATCATATAAAATTTTGAACACTAATATCGCTTTCACCTTTATCAATTTTGTCATATTATACCATCTTAAAGTTTAAAAGTAAGTCTTTTTAAGTAAAAAATATTTATAGTTTTGAAAACTAAGTTTTGTATAATTATTTTATAAACAAGTATTTTAAAATAACTCTTTTTAAAGTATGAAAAATAAAACTTTTTAAGCTTTAACATTGCTTCCATGCATCATTTCTATCCTACAAGCTAAACAATTATATAAAATAATGGTTTGTAGTTGAAATATAATAATAATAATAATAATAATAATAATAATAATAATAATAATAACAACAATAATAATAACAATAATAATAATTTTAAAACAATAATATTTAAAATTATAATATTAATTAATATTTAAGTGTGTGTAGTTTTAAATAAAGTAATGTGATTTAATCAAATAATGGTAATTATTATTTAATCCTTGAATTATATATATATATATATATATATATATATATATATATATATATATATATATATATATATATATATATATTATCTTTATATTTTTTTCTTGATTTGATAATATTAGATTTGATCTGATCTGATCTAATTGGATCTGGTCTGATCTGATCGGACCTGATCTGATCTAATTGGATCTGGTCTGATCTGATTAGATCTAATCTGATCTGATTGAGTCTGATGTGATCTGATTGAGTCTGATATGATCTGATTGAGTGTGATCTGATCTGATTGGATCTGATCTCATCTGATCTGATTGGATCTGATCTGATCTGATTTTAATAAGAATAAGTAATAAGTAGAAAAAATAAGTCCTACGGAGCGGACCCGTAGTCGTGTATGGAGAGTCCACCATATTCATTAGTGTATTAGTAACACATTAATGTCTCACCATTAACATGGGGTTACACACATTTTTGTATAAAATTATTCCATTTAATTGAAGATTAGTGACCAGTAATTCCGTAAAAGTGGAATAATTTTAAACAACATGTAAAAAATAATAATAGAAGATTAGTTAATTAAAATTGCAAAAAATATTGCAATCCTTATCATATTCTTCTATTAACAGGTTAACTTTGAAAATAAATTTCTCATTCACCCTCTATCATTTTTGGTGTATAAATAATCAAAATATTAATCTCATTTAAGAGAGCATACATCCACTAATTAACGGTTAAAACCGTTAGTGGACCTATTAATAAATATACCCAAGTTGGTCCATTTAATGCTTATTAAAAATGTCAAAAATTCCAACAATCCTCCACATGAATGAAAAATTGATATGGGGGTGGACAACATCCCATGGTTGAAAACTCACAAAGAATAGGTAAGTGTCTCCACTTTTGACCCTATCCCTTGTAAAGTATACCTTATTTACTAGATGTTCAGTAGAACGCCATATCTTTGAACTGTACTCGCATTTTTGTAAACGATGGTATACCATACACAAATTCCAACCAAACATCGTTATGTTCTCATGGTTTTTCCCATTTTAGTCATGGGACACACGCCTGGTTCTACGAGAGTGTTTAGAGGATTAAGCCCTTAATTCTGTGTTTGAATAGACCACACTTCACTCTTACATAGGTGATTCTTCTGAGAGTATCTCGATTACTCCACCTAGACCATCATGTTTAATGTTAAAGAATTATTAAACATATTTATATTCTGACGTCATAAATTTGGGGAGTCACTATTTGAAGTAGGAATAGAAGGGACTGACCAAAGGTACTGGTGCTGCCCTCACGGTGACCGCACCTCGTCCTACAAGTAGATTGTCCCATTGAACCTATGTACCATCAAGATTGGATTTTCCTTCATAGGACTTTCCTAGCACACGGGCTTCCAACCCATTCTTGCTACCAACTTCTCATGCAACTCATTTGTTAACCCTTTGGTTAATGGATCTCAAGATTATCTTTTGACTACACATAGTCAATTGTGATAATCTTAGTTGTAAGAAATTGTCTAATGGTTTTCTGTCTATAAAGAATATGTCTAGACTTACCATGATACATATATGTTACTCTTTGCACATCCTATTTCTGATTGACAATCACAATAGATGTAAACCGGTGGGTCTGCTTTGTCCCATCTTGGAATGTCCTCAAGGAAGTTGCATAGCCATCTAGCTTCCTCACCATATTTATCTAAGGCTATAAACTCAAATTCCATGGTAGACCTAGCAATCAATGTTTGCTTCGTGGATTTCAAAGATATTGCTGCACCCGCTAGCGTAAAGACATATCCACTTGTGTATTTCGAGTCTTTACTATCATATATCCAATTCGCATCCATGTATCCTTTCAGCACCGGTGGATATCTCAAGCAGCATAAGCCATATCCATGTGTATCTCATCACACATACAATAGCCTTCTAGTGCGCTCATCACTGGGATTATTGGTGTATTTACTCGGCTTACTTATGGCACATGCTAAGTGCAGTCGAGTGCAGCTCATTAGATACATCAAACTTCCAACAGCTCTCGCATACTCAATTTGAGAGTTACCGGAACCTCGGTATTTCGCCAAGTGTGTGTTGACGTCCAATGGCATCTTAGCTACCCTAACGTCATCCTTGTTGAAATTGCCAAGGATTTTTTCAATATAATGGGATTGGCTCAATGCTAGACCGTTAGGTTTCTCACAATTTTAGTTCTAAGAATTACTTCAGTCAGACCCATGTCCTTCATATCAAACCGCAAGTTCAACATATCTTTGGTAGACTTGACCATCTTGTCATTGCTACATACTATGAGTATGTTGTCTACATAGAGACATAACATGACATACCCTTGGAATGTGTCTTTTAAATAAACACACTTGTCTGCTTCATTAATTTTGAAGCCAGAGTTAATAATTACTTGGTCAAACTTTTCATGCCATACTTTTGGGGCATGTTTGAGACCATATGATGACTTAACAAGTTTACATACTTTCCTTTCTTGACAAGGAACTATAAACCACTCTGGTTGTTCCATGTAGATCACTTTTTTGAGATCTCCATTAAGGAAAGCTTTTTTCACATCCATTTGATGAACTTCCAAGTTTCACAAGGAATCTATTCTAAGTATCATTCTAATGGAATTTATCCTTGACACTAGGGCATATGTGTCAAAATAATGAAAGCCCTAACCTTTGTCAAAAAAGAGTACCAACGCTAGAGGGGGGGGGGTGAATAGAGTTTGATGAAACAAAATCCTAGAGATAAAATTGAGAGCGTGAAAAGTAAAGATCGTAAAGGAAATGCACACCGAGATTTACACTAGTTCACTACAACGTGTGAATATGTCCAGTCTCTCGAGAGACTCTCTCGAGCTACACTAGTTCCGTTAAGATTACGGGTGCTTAACAAACTGTTACAACCGAAGAACTCGAGTCACACAAGCCTCAAAACACCTTGCTCGGAGACACCACACTCCAAGATTTCAACTTGAAGGAATGTACCCTTCCTTCGTACAACCAAGGGTAACAAGCTTCCCTTCAAGTGTAAACTACATTTAACAAATAATACAAAGACTCTCTCAAAGAGTAGTAAAATCTATACGCTCAAGAACTTCGCAAAATGGCCCTTGAAAGCTATGAAAATTGTGAATGAATGATGCAATGAAGGAGTAATGAATTGTGAAGTGTTGTGTTGTTAAAAGCAGACCCAAAGACCCCTTTTTATACTCAAAAATATGCTCCAAGGAGTGGGAGTTGATTGGGGATGATTTAAATCAAAAATGGATCTGCTGGATATTGGCCTATCATCAATGTTCAAGTCCTGAACATCGCTATTATGGCTTAAACTTTCCAATTCGAGTGTTCAACGTTCACCATAATATCGATGTTCAATAGGTGAACATCGCTGTTTTAGAGGTTGACTTCCAAAGAAGGAAAGATTTAGCCTTTAATTTCTTCAAACGGCCAGGGGCCAACATCGATGTTCATATGTGAACATTACTGTTCAGGGCTGTTCTGCCAAAGGAAGACAATGGCGTAGAATCGATGTTTCTGGGCCAACATCGCTATTGAAATGCATTTTGCCAAATGAATATTGGTGGTCCGAAAGTGGTGAGATACAAAGTCTAGAGGGGGGGGGGTGAATAGACTTTGTTGCAAATTAAAAACTTTTTCATTTCTTTTGAAAACGTGAAAATGAGTGTTTAATCTAAAGTTCTTGTGAACCTTAGATTGTGTGCGGAAGTTGGTGGTTAAGTTGAGCAGTAATCAATATGGATGGATTAATTTTCACAGTTAATATAATTGCAAGTATAAGTAAAGATAAAAGAGAGAGACACGCAAACTTTGATGAGGTTCGAAGGTGGGGTAATCCTTCTACGTCCTCAAAATCCACTATGTAGTTGGTTGTTGAATAATGAACCAACAATTACACTTGTGTGAATTTCTACACGGTATATCTTCGCAAGGCCAATGTTGCTACTACACTCGTGCTGGCTTTGTTGTTCCTTCGAAGGTCACGCTTCTTCAACAACTGCAAGATCCGAACAATAGGACTTGCAAGATCAACTTGTAAGAAAGTTGATGTATCCCCTTTTAATCAAGAAGTTTGATTAAAAGTTATATCCTTCAACGTGGTGTGGTACTTGAGGCAAGGAAACCTTCAAGTGTTTACACTATAGCTCTTTGGAAGGAGGAGAAGTTTGCTTCTGGATAAGGAGTTTAGAAATCTCTCTTTATCAAGCTTTTTGGCTAACTGTGAATAAGATAGCTTTGTTGTCTGAGATTGCTTCTTTTGTGTTTGTTTCTCTATGTATCTCATCGTACTTTCTCCAGTCTTCCAAGGTTGCTATTTATAGCTGGATTGGATAATCTATCCGTTGAATCAAAATAGACTATCCGTTGCATTTGCTGGCTTCAATTTTGAATGAAGATTATGATTGAGGATTCCTCATTGGAATGGGTGTTTGGACATACCCAATTGTTTGAGGAGGGATTCCTTTTTCCACAGAATCCGTCTTCTAGCTGTTGTTCAAGAATTCTGGACTGTAGCTCTTTACTCAGTTTGTCTTCTAGTGCTTGTATAAGAATTCTGGACGAGCTCTTTAATTTGAGGGGTCCAGACTTTGTCTTCAAGTCATTTGTTCTTGAATCAGCTTAATTATCTTCAATCTAGCCGTTGAAAATCAAGAGGTTGATTTTTCCTTACCAACGGGTAGAATTTCTTCATTCAAGACTTTGATAATTTTCTAAGTCTTTTCTCACTTGTCCGCTTCTGAGAGTTCTGGTCTTTTCTTGAGGCATCCGGTTCTTTGCTGACAAATCCGGAAGAGTCATTCTTAGACTTTCGGGTGAGAAAGAGATCCGCGCTAGTCTTCCGATTTGGATGACTTAGCCTTCAACGGGTTGTAGCGAGACGTCCAGTTATCATGTAGTGTTCCGGATTAGAGAATCTTCAATTGCTTTGAGAATTCCTCACTTGTCTCTGACATTTCCGATCAAGATATCCAATTTCCATATCACTGAATTTGATTATGTCTTCAACCATCAAACCACTTAATGAAATATCACAAATTTATTGGAAATCTCAAGAACTCGGTTTTAACAATATTTCTAAAAAGAAAAATTACATTGAATATTGGGGGAGGACTAAAGTTCCTATTACAATCTAAATACATCATCATCAAAATCTATAATACTTTTCCCAACAATTTCCCCCTTTTTGATGATGACAAACAAGTGTTTAAGAGTTCTGGTCGCTGTACTGAGAACTAATTTTATAACTTTCTTTTAGTTTCTCATAATATACAGCTTGTTAACAAAAACTCTTAAACAGATACAATTCAAATTACAATAATTCTTAAACCAAGTCTTGTCTTGAGATTTGTGATATTTTCTGCCATTTTCCGCTTTCACTTCCAGCTGATTTTGCTTGGTAGTACAGATGGCAGTGCGTTTGATAGATCTTTAATATCCAAAGTGGATATTTGAGATCTAGGAAGCAACATCTCTCCAAAAAGAAAAAACAAAAACAAAAAGAAAGTGGATGGAAAGGAGGCGGCGGTGAAAGGAAAGAAAAAGATAGAAGGACAAGAAAAAGGTTTTGGAAAAGAGAATTGATTGTGAAAAAGATAAAATAAGGGTTTTTAAAGATGAAGGGAAAAATAAAAATTTTGAAAAAGAGTTTAAAGGAGAAGTATGGTGACTAGGGAAGAAAAAGTTTTGAAAAACAGAAGGGGAAAGAAAATTTTGAAAAAGAGGTGGAGAAGGGTGCAGAGACAACAAAAGTGGAGACCTAAAATCAATTTTAAAATAAAAGAAAAGAAAGAGAGAAGGGAAGAGTGTTTCAAGAAGAGAAAAACAAGAATAAGAGAGGTTTTAAAAATAAATTTTGAGGAACAAAAAGAGAAAAAGAAAAAAAATGAAACAAAAATGGAGAGAGTGTTGTTCCAGAGAAGGTGCATGGTGTAATCCTGAAAAATATGAGATTTTCACCACAGACCTTCTCTACTGCCGAGATTCTCACCATAGACCTTGAATGTCTTTTCTTCTCATTAGGCTTTCTCCATTGCCGTCTATGAGGGTGAGAGAGAAAAATTTCTCCATTGAGGATATTTTTCTTGGTGGTTTTCTAAGACAGTGAGTTTGAAGACTTTTCATATTGAGAGAGTTGTTTGTGATAGGAATGGATTGGAATGTCTTGATTTAAATAGGAGGAGAGGTTGAGAGAGGAGAGGTTCACGGGTTCCATTTAGTGGGTAGTTGGAACGGTGAGAGTAAAAGAGTTTCAACTTCCAAGAAGTTGAAAAGTTGAAGGAATCTTTTACCAGTTACCAAGGTGTTGAAACTGTTCTAATTAAAAGAATCAGTTTCGTTTGGTTTGAAAAACGTAACTGTTTTGGTTTGGCTAAGCCCAAAAGAGTGGCCCAAAAAAAAATCTATGCACTAAAGGGAAATTATTCCTATTGGGTTCTCAAGGCCCAAAATAAAACTATCATTTTTCATTCCCTATAGTTCTAATTTCTAATTAGGACGAGGTAGTACCAAAAAAATATGAAATTCATTTTTAAAAGAGAAGTGGTACTATTTTTCCAAAGTCCTGTACATTATGAAAATCCTAAGGACCAGTACTTTTTAGATCAAGTTGGAAATGAACTAAGGATTAAATCTTAGTTTAAGAAGGCAGATTTTGTAAAGTACCTGAATCGGAGATCTCCAACTTTAGTACTTAAACTGAGGTATCCGTCTTCCATTGCTTAGAGTTCATCAATAGTTCATTACCAAAAACAATTGTTAGCCAAAAACAGTTAAGTTCCCCCTGAATAAGTTCCCCCTGAATGTATGCACTCAATAATAAATCTCAATAATCATACTTTTAGAAATATAATCAAGCATAATTAAGAGAAGTATTAAGCCATGTTTAAACCAAAACTCATGTTTAAAAAAGAAGGTGTTTTCATCAAAACACAATAATGTTTTTACATACTTCCACATGGTTTGATGAAAAGAGCCTTCACCGCTTCTTGCGCTTGGATGATCCGGCAGTCTCACCAATGCCTTGCATAATTCCACACTCTTCTTTGATGCGCTTGAGGTTGTTATATCTCTCCTTTGTCTGTTCATCATTTGAGAAGTGGGAAGCAATGGTTCCAACAACTTCTATTCAATCAAGACCAGAGCTAGACAGATGCTGTGTTGAGTTTTCCGGATTGCTCTGCTGAGCTTCCAGGATCAAATCCGTCATATTCAGATGAGATGGGATGTATGTGAGTTCTCCTTTCTTGACTTCAATAGGAAGCTGTGGGATTAGGGATGGACTATTGTGTTGGACAATTACATCTAGCTTGTGTTTGCCAGTGTAGGTGCCAAAATGTCTAAAGAGCCTGAATGCCTCCTTTTTATTTTCAGCAATAACCTTCAAGTAGTCTTGGGTTACCACCTGATTTGCTGAAGAGACTGCCAGGGCTGACCTAATATCCATCTGGAGAAAAGCCATCTGCTTCTGTAGGCTGACTGTAACTGTTGCTATTTGCTCTTTGATTCTAGATACTTCATTGAAATGAAGATGCCATAGTCTGATGCATAAGCTTCCATTGTGTTGCTCACAGATGTACTCAATAGAGAAATAATCTCTAGAGTCTTGTCCACCGACTTGCTTATCTCCCTGAGATCTGAGCAATGTTTTTCTTCGGATTTCTCCATCAACTTGTTGTGGCTAGCTTCCATCTGTTCTATCTCTTGCCTAAAAGAGGCATGCTGAGATTCTAGGGCTGATTCAATCAACCCTTGGACCTTTCTTGTCCAGGTTTCCAGAACCTCATCCGGAAGAGTAGAAGTGGAAGAGCTGTGAAAATGGAAGTTTGTTACCTGATGAGAAGGAGGTGCTCTGTGGAAGAGTTGCGGAGGGAGGGATTCAGCATCTCCTTGCTCAGCTCCTTCATCATCAATCCTTAGCGTCTTTTCCGATTCTTCCTCTGTCTCATTCATGAATTTTGAGATGTCCCTTGAAAGAGAATCTCTGTCTTCATCACCAATTTCCTGCTCAAAGATAGTAACTGGAGTTTCAGAGGTCTCCAGTCCAGCCATTTGAGCTTCCTTCTCAGCTTCTGCAGAACTCCTCTGAACTTCTACAGCTTGGACTTCCTGAAGGGCTTCATTTGTTTCTGGAGAAGTGGACTTCTCCAGATTTCCAGTTGACTTCTCCGGAGTCTTAAGTTCAGGCTGATTGGAGATCTCACAAGGAGTTGTGAGAATCTCTTGAACTTGAGATTGGAGAAGTTGAAGAAGTTCTTCCTCTAAATCTTCCTGGTGCTGTTCTTGTTGGGGAGAAACTGCATTCTCCTGGACGGCTTCAGGCAGAATAGTCTCAAGAGCAGGGGAGGTTTCCGGAAAGACTTGGAAGTCCTCTGCTGCTGCTTCCGTATCAGCTTGTGCTTCAGTGGTGATAACCATCTGATCTTCTGTGGCCTTTGAAAATATTGGCCTGTAGACTGAAGGATCTTCATTGTCAACCTCAAATTATGAAACTGGTGAGGTGACCAAGTGTTCCAGATGCAAATCTTCATAGTTCCTTTGCCATACCCAGTCAACATCCAGGATTTGATCACAGCAATAGTTGACTGGCAGACCCAAGCATCTCTTGATAATCTTTTCATTTTTCAATTGTTGGTCCCATTCCAACAACTGCTCTGCTGAGTTCCCAACCTTCCAAGCTCTCCAGTCATAATAGAGCTGCATGAATTGGCTCTCTGCATCATCAGTTTGAGCTTGTAGTGAAGGAGTTGGTGAACTTTGAACTTGGGGAATTTCTTTATCAAGTTGTTGAGGGTTCTGGTTGTGTGCAGAGTGTTCCTCAACTGGTTCCTTTCCCACCAACTCATCCGGGTTGGCACTTCCAGATGTAGAGGAGGAGGTGACTTTCCTTTTCTTCTTCCTTTGAAGTTCCCCTTGGGCAGAAACTTCTTCTTCTTCTTCCAAATTCACCACTGCTAGATTCTGTGGTGCTTCAGCACTGGGAGAGGGAGACACCACTTGCTTCCTCTTTACTGACTTCTTTAGACTCATGATAAGGACATTGTCTGAAGAACTTTCTTCTGCGGTTGAACTGACTTTGTTTTCTCCTTTGGAAGTTAGGTAGTAAAGCCAATATCTGGCTTCATATTTCTTGCCTTCTAAGGCAACACCCATGGTCTCCAAGATGTACCCAAGGTACAGACCTTGACACAGGTACTTCTGGTTGGGCTTTCCTAAATGCTTGGAAATGGAATTGAAGAAATATTTAGCCCAGTTTACCTTAGTTTTGGTAATGAGGGCATTGATGATGAAGGCCCTCTCTTGAGTGATGTCATCAGCATGTCCTCCGCTTCCACATTCAAGGCATGCGATGACTAGTTCTAGATCCAACTTGTAGTCGTTCTTCAAGTCTGCTTTCTTCGCTGGGCCAGAGGGGATTTGCCCAGAAATCCCAATGGTCTTCCAATCCAGATTCTTGGCTGAAAGTCTCCCAATTTCACTTCCAGAATTGGGAAGATGAAGCTCCTTCTCCAATTTCTTCTGTAAAATCTTCACTTTGGTCCCTCCAACAGTGGACTTGATAATTTGAATCGTCCTTTATGGATTTTTCTTCGATTGAGCAGTCTTGACCTTTCCATTCCTATAGAATTCTAGAACTTCATCTTCATATTTGGAGTGAATCTCCATATGAAGGAATTCGGAGAGTTCTTGAGCAGCAATCATCTCCAGATATGTCTGATAGAACGCCGGTGAAGAGCACTTCGCTTCCAACTTCTGGAAATGGACATTTGTGCCAACAATCTTCATTTTCTCTGAGATTTGAGTGAGAAAATCTGAAAGATCTGAAGAAATTTAGGGTTCTTGAGAATTCTATCAGAGGGTTCTTGAAGAAGACGACGAAAATTTGAGTGGGCTGAGTGGGCAGTTGAGATCTGATTAGTGGCGGTTGGGTTTAATTTGGGCAATTTATGCGGCTAGTGGCGATTGGGATTTCAACTGTTCCCAAGGCCACGTGCAAACCCAATACTTTGACAGACGTGGAAAGTGGACTGCCACGTGTACCGCACTCAGTCTAATTGAATTAGACCTATTTTGTGAAGCAAATCGGAAAACTTGGCTTCACTTAGTGGTTTTGTGAAGATATCCGCCAATTGTTCCTCAGTTGAGATATACTCAATTTTGATATCTTTATTTTCCACATGATCTCTGATGAAGTCATGCTTGACATCAATGTGCTTAGTGCGAGAATGATGCACTGGATTTTGTGAGATGGCTATTGCACTTTGATTGTCACAAAAGATTGTAACTTCGTTTGTTTTGACTCCATAATCCAGTAGTTGTTGCTTTAGCCACAAGATCTGAGCACAACAACTACCAACAACAATGTACTCTGCTTCTGCTGTTGATGTAGAGATGGAGTTTTATTTCTTACTGAACCAAGGAACAAGATTTTCGCCAATGAATTGACAAGTACCAGATGTACTTTTCTGGTCAACTTTGTGTTGGACAATGTGCTATCATGAATATGTATTTTTGCATTGTCCTTTGCCCATTGTCTTTTAGGTTTTGATAATGACAAAAGAGTGACAAAACATCATCATCATTTTGTGCATCAAGGCTAAGAATCAAAGCTATAACAAGTTCATATCCGTCCGTGAAGAAGGGACTTGAGCATCGGTGGAAGGAACGAGACCGAAGAGGTTGTTTCCTTAGTTGGGTAGTGTTTTAGGTCTTAGATTATGTGTTAAAGAGTATGGCATCTATAAGGTTCATTCCCTTATCTTCTTACCTTTAAAACACATTTTAGATCAGCCTTTGTGTGGGGAAGTTGCCTTTCTATTCGAATAATTTTTAGTTTATTCGAATAAGTCGTGATCTTTCTTGTGACTGAGATTAACCTGTTTTATTCGAATAAACCACCATTTATTCGAATAAGTCCTCGCTTTTCACCCTGATTTATTCGAATAAATCACCATTTATTCGAATAGGAACTGGTTTTTCAAGCCACGCGATTGATCCAAACTATTCGAATAGTTCTTGAGTTATTCGAATAAGTCAACAGTTTCAACTACCAAACGGCTAGTTTTTTTGAATTCTTTTCATCTCTATCCACTCCCTAACTTCTATAAACAACCCTCTTCGTGATTATCTTGATGAGAACACTTAGAAAACTTTGAAGAACATATCCTTTGAATATCCAAAGAGATTCTACTCAATCCCCTCCTTATATCCAAGCAAGGCAATTGTTTTGATTGCTAAATCATTTCTTGCTTGAGTTTTTCCTCATTGCTTGAATCTTTGAGAGATATTGCCATATTCTAAAGGACTTCATTGTATTTGCAACAATCTACTCCGTGTTGGGAGAATTACTCGGTTGCGGTTTGTTTTCTTACTTTATTGTAAGTGATTTGTATTCTTGGTGTTGGGATTACACCAAGTGGTAGAAATCCTAACGGTTTGTGAAATCAAATGTTAGGTGGAAGAAATCCTGAGTTTTGTGAAATCAAAACTTTGGTGGTAAGATAAGAGGCTTGTGAAATCAAGTTCTCGAGTTGTATTCGGATTGTCAAACTCCGTTAAGTTTGACGGGTTAGTGAAGGCCTGGGCACGATTGCTTCGGGGACTGGATGTAGGCATTTAGGCCGAACCAGTATATATCGTGTGTGCATTGCTCTTATCCTTCACTTTATTTTGTTTGTGGTGCATTGTTTTTATTGAATATTCGTGAAGAACATTTTCACGCAAAAAACTGGTCTTTTGGGCAACACCTCTATTCACCCCCACTCTAGAGGTGTGCGAGGTGTCTAACAAGTGGTATCAGAGCGAGGGATTTTCAAAGCTTTACCGCTGAAAATTTAAAAAGATCATGGCCGGAAGAACATTTCAACCCGGAGTTGCCGAAGGACAATCCACGACAAGGCCACCACTCTTCGACAGCACAAATTATGCTTATTAGAAAGAGAGGATGAGAATATTCATCCAATCAAATGATTATGATTCTTGGTTGGTGATCAAGCATGGAGAGACGGTTCCCACGAAGATTGTTGACGGGGTTCTTGTTCCAAAGTTAGAGACCGAATATACCTCAAATGACAAGAAGAAGATGCAACTAAATGCAAGGGCCATCAACTTTCTATATTGTGCCGTGAACCCGGATGACTATTGGAAAATCTCAAGGTGCAAGACGGCCAATGAGATGTGGAACAAATTAGAGGTCACATATGAAGGAACAAGTCAAGTGAAGGACTCAAAGATCGACTTACTCACCCATGAGTATGAGCTTTTTATGATGATGGAAAATGAAACAATAGATGGCATGTTCGAGAGATTTTCAACTATCGTCTCAAATTTGGATACACTTGGGAAGCATTATGAGGATCATGTTCTCGTTCGAAAAATCCTTCGAAGTCTCACACCGGAATGGAAGTCTACGGTCAACCCTATCAAAGAAGGCCGAGATTACAATACATTGACATATGACACACTTCGAGGTAAACTACTCACTTATGAAATGTCTAACTTTTCTAGTGCAGCGGAGATCAAAAGGGATCAAAATCTATCATTCAAAGGAGTTGCACTCAAAGCTTCATCGTCAAAATATGTCGAGACAAGCGGCTCTGGAGAAAGTGACATTCTCGAGTTATTTAATGACTTCTTGCAAAATGAGCTTGAGCAATTGAATGAGAGTACAACGCGTACTTGCTATGGATGTGGAGAGCGTGGACATATCAAGGGTCATTGCCCTAATCGAAAATTCAAGAAGTCCAAACGCCGAAAGCAATCCAACTCTAGCTCCTCTTCCTCATCCGATGATGAAGTAGCCATTTGTCTTATGGCTCAAAGTGAATCTGAAGAGGTAAGTTCTTCTAACGATTCTTTTAGTTTTAAAGAACTACAAGAAGCATTTGGTGATTTATTTAAAGAATTTAAGAAAGTCTCATCTATTGCCAAAGATTTGGAATATAAAATCACCCTTTTGCAAAAGAAAAATAATACTTTGCAAAAAGAAATTGATTCCATCAAAATTAAAAATAAGACTTTTGAGGAGACTAATTTGAAATTAAATGATCCACCTTGTTCTTCATGTAAGTCTTCTAGTCTTGAGATAGAAGCGCTTAAGAAAGAGGTAGACGATTTGAAATTAGCTATGAAGAAAGTTGAAAATGAATTTAAATTAAAATCTACATCTAGGATTAAATACTATAGATCACCTAGAAATAAATTAAGTCATTCTAGGAATTCTAAGTTTGATAGACAACCTAGAAAGCACATCACACGTCCTAGAAACATGAACAACCCTAGTGTTAGGTGTCATTATTGTAATAAAGTAGGACACATCACACCAGTTTGTTACACGAAGTATAGGCACTTGCTTCTAAGTCAAGATAATGTGATGCATCGTTCATATGATTTTTATTATTGCCATAACACCCCTGGACCCAAAAGGCATTGGGTACCAAGATTTGCTTCGTAGATTCATTAAGGAAGGTGTGCTTGAACACTTCGACTTGAGTTGAAGTAGATGCGCCAGGCACATATTTAGGTGAAGCATCAATTAAGGGGGAAGTTGATTCCCTTTATTAATTCCAACTAATGTTGATTTATATATTAGTTGGACAATGTGATATTATTTGTTTGTTTGATATCTATTTGCATGAGCATATATCTTTTTGCCAATCTCTTTTTGATAATGTCAAAAGGGGGAAGATGGTGTAGATATGCATATATTCAGGGGGAATTGTATTTGTGCATATTTTAATGGGGAAGATAGTATAGATTTGTATGTCTTTGTTTGATTTATGATGCTATACTTCAGGGGTAACTAGCCTTGTATGATGCATATCTCCTAATGGGTTTGTCATTATCAAAAAGGGGGAAATTGTTGGACAATGTGCTATCATAAATATGTATTTTTGCATTGTCCTTTTCCCATTGTCTTTTAAGTTTTGATAATGACAAAAGAGTGACAAAACATCATCATCATTTTGTGCATCAAGGCTAAGAATCAAAGCTACAACAAGTTCATATCCGTCCGTGAAGAAGGGACTTGAGCATCGGTGGAAGGAACGAGACCGAAGAGGTTGTTTCCTTAGTTGGGTAGTGTTTTAGGTCTTAGATTATGTGTTAAAGAGTATGGCATCTCTAAGGTTCATTCCCTTATC